ATAAATATACTTAAAAAATTTTCAATTTCTAAATTTATTATAAAACTCAAAGAAATAGCAAATAAAAATTCTATTTCAATTCTCATAATCCAAACAGGTTGAGATTTTTTTTTTTTCTAAATTGATTAATATAACTAAAAAGCATATAAAATTTACAAATGTTAACTATTTTTTTTTGCCAGATCCAATATTTTTCTAACTCATCTACAATATCTTGTAACAAACTTTATTGATATCTTTTTCATATAGTACTTAATCATTTGCTTTTCAAAAATCCAAATGCCTTTAATTACTTTTTTAACTTGCTTTTAGAATTATTCCATTTTCTTACTTCTTACCTCTCTTTAAGTGAGTATCATAGGATGAACGCTTCCTTTTTTTCATAAACCAACGAATTTTAACTTCACCAAAACCGTTCAATAATGTGTTTAATAATTTTCATTGTTCTGCCAGGTTTTTTTTGCTTTGAAAATTTGATCTATTTTAAAATAGCATCTGTAGACAAAAGTCAATTAATAAGATTAAAACTTTAAATTTGATTTTATTAACTTACAATAAGTTCATGAATATTATATTTAAGGCCTCAAGTATATAGATTTTAATCAAATGCTAATAATAATTATTGCAAATGAATTAATTAAAAAAAAAAGAAGGGTAATTATAAAATTTAATGAAAATAGAAGAAAGCTTGAGAACTATTTATTAGATTGAAAAGTTTGTAAGTAAATTCTATTTGTGTTTTTATTTAGCATGTAATTAATTAGTTAATAATTATTAAAATTAAAGTAAGATATATAAATATTATTGGATTGTAAAAGCATTTTGTTTGAAATGATTTTGAACATATTTTTTTATTAAATTTGATGCAAATCTATGTATAGATGCCAAATGGAAAAACTATATTAATAGATGTATAGTTAGAGAAAACCACAGTGTCAGATGTTAAAAAGAAGGTCATGGAGAAATCAGGAATAAGATTGGAGGATCTGGTTTTGGTTTTCAAAGATGAGATATTGAAAAACGAAAAGTCATTAAAGGAATATGGAATAGACAAAGAAGCAAGAGTTAATGCAGAGACAGCCGAAACTCTATAATAAATATATATTTAGAAATTGGGTATCATTATATATATTTAATTAGCATCATTGGAAAGCGATGTACAAAGATGGTAATAGAAATTTAGCGATGAAGGTGCTTAAAGGGAGGAATTGTAAGAAAAGTTAATGAAGACGTTGACAGAATTAGATTAGTAAGAATATTTATTAATAGTGAATAGGATTAAATAAGAGAAGACAACATTGTCATTAGAATATAATTCAGTAAGGAATCAACTTGAATAATTATAGAAGAAAAATGCTCAAAATGCAGATATGCAATCTTCTTAATTGAAACAATAATAGTCATAGTCAAAAGGAATTGATGCGAAAAATTTAGAATTAGAGTTAGCAACATAAAAAGCAATTATTAGTAGATTCGATATGGAGAAAACAGAGATGAACTCTTAGATCGCATATTTCAAATAAGAAAAGCAAGAATTACAAAAGAAATTGGAGGATTATCAAAAGTTGAAAGAAGATTTAATAGTTAAGACTTTTGAAATAAAAGGATTATAAAAAGATTTGGATTTCGCATAGAGTCGTGGAAGTCAAACAAAAGATGAAATAAATAGAGAATTAGATTTTTCAAAGCAATAAATAAAGTATATAAGAAATAATAAATTAGAAAACTGGAACAACAATTAGAAGATGTAAAAACAAAGAATTAAGAATTGGAAGTAGAAAAGGTGAGGTAAGAATTGAAAAATAATATTGATTCTTAATAAGTAGAAAGAATGAATGAATTACAATAACAAAATACTCAATTAGAGAAGAGAATATCAGAATATAAAGCATAGGTGTCTAGTTTAAATGATTAAGTGAAGTAGTTATAAAATAGAAGTTAAGAAGAAATGAGAAATTCTATTAAGGGAGATGATTTAGTTAATGCTGAAAGGATTCAAGTAATTAATATAATGATAGAAATAATAGGGTTATGAAATATAGATTAGTAGATTGAATTCAGAATTAAAATCTGCTTCATAATCTTTTAATGATAGTTAAATATAACTATCATAAGCAAAGAAATAATGTTTTGATAGTGATAAGAAGATAATGGAATTAGAAAAGAGTGTAGAGAGTCTTTCATATCTATTAAAGGAGAAAGATAGAGGAATAAAAGAAAGAGAATAGACTATAAAATAATTACAAATAGAACTGGAAGAAGCTAAAAAAGATTTGATAATTTATTAAAAGAATCTTAGAGATTATAAAGATATTGCATAATAAGCAGATCCTAAAAAGGTTTTAGAGATAGATAGTGAGGCTTTGAAAGTAGAGGAGAAATTAAGAGCAAGGGAAGAATAAAGAAATAAGGAATAGAAACGATAAGAGTTACAAAGATAACAGGAATTGGTAGATAGAAAAGAGAAATTAAAATTAGAATAATAATAATACTTTGATTTAATGTAAAAGGGAAAAGAATAAAGATAAAAAACAGCATAATGTAATTAAAGTTATTATCATTAGTTTTGAAAAAATAAATGTTAGAGAGTCATGGAAAGATTGAAGTTTGTTTTTTAATAGATGTTACTGGGTCTATGGATCCTTATAAAGAGTAGGCAATGAAATGCATAAAAGAAAGTATGAAGAACATTAAGATCAAAACAAATAGAGATGCTTTATGGGCCACTATTGCCTATCAAGATTTTGGAGAGTTAAAATAATTAGGAGGTTTATATAAGTAGTTCAATTTTACACCAAATCCAAAAGAAATAGAAGACTATTTGTCTGAAATTCCTTGTACTGGAGGTGGAGATGCAGCAGAAGACATTAGAGGAGGAATTATGTAAATGATTAAGAATCTACACTGGAGTAAGACATTTAAAATTGCTGTTTTGATTTGTGATGCACCTACTCATGGTAAAAGATACAATGGTGGAGTAAGTGATAGATATCCAAATGAAGATATTGAAGATGCAATTAATTTACTCATAGATAATAATATTTTGTTAGTTGCTATTCTATTTAATAAGGTAACACTACAAATGTTTGAAGAAATAAAGAAAATGTATTAGAGTGCAGATAAAGAAGAATTATTGTTATTTGCAGATTTAGAACATACTGAATAAGGTAGAATTTGGCAAGAACTTGTTGATTTAGTTTCTTAAGCATCTTAAAGAGCTACACAAACAAATAATAAAGGAACAAGATCAAAAAATAATTAGGCTAATAAAAGATCATAATCTGGTGCTATGGAAGCTCTTTGTAAATAAATTAAGGATCCGTTTTAATTTGATAAATTACCAGGAGTTACAACAATACCTGTTAAATTTGGTGTTTTTAGAGTAGAATTGAAATAAGATTCATTTGAGGCTAATATTGAGAATCTTAAAAGACTTGACATAAATAGAGATTATACTATATATTAAGAAGGATAATGGGATTGTATTAGAACAGAGAAATATTTTGCATAAGGTTAAATGAAATAAGTGTATTTAATGAAAAGATAGAACAACTAAAATGAATTATATGTAATAAAAATGCCTATTGGAGATTTAACTTATAGCAGTTAAGAATCAGCGGTTGTTGAATGTAGATCACATTTAATATCAAAATGTTTAATGAAGAAATTTATTAGAGATTTATAAGAAGCAAGAGATAGAATTGATAGATCAATAAAGATTCCTGAAGTATAATATTCAGATTTTCTGATTTTGAAGGATATGGATAGAGGAAGTAAATAATTTGAATAATATTTTAGATTCATTTTGGATTGCAGAAAGATATTTTACAGGTGAATTTGTAAAGTATAATAATAATTATGGTTTTATTTCTGATGATAATTCAGATATTAATCATTTAGCATAAGCATACACCTATTATACTTATTTCATTTCTAATTTTACCTACATGGTTAATGATGTTCAAGGAGTAGGAAATTATTTCACTGATCCTGCTTTAAATACCAAAGACAGTAATAATCAATTTATATTATAGGTAATTTTGATGAAACTGATATGGGAATTGATGGATAATCTATGTATATGGTTAATTATGAAGGAAAAAAACATATGGGAAGAAAATACTTAGATTTGCTAGCCATACCTGCACCATGAGTTATTAAATAAACAAATATCATTAATATGTTCATTATTCTTGTTATTTATATGGTTTTTTAAATGCTATTTTTATTGAAGGATCCTAGGTTACCAATTAAGTTAAAGTATTAGTCATCTTTTAAGATAAAAATATTTAGGCTTATAAGTATTTAGACAAACAATTTTCTAACATTACTTTATTCATATACTTGAACAGGACTCTTCTTCTATGTTTAAATAAGGTATAGACATATCCTTTACACATTGCTTAAAACATCTCTTTTATTCTTAATATCCTGTTGTTGATGGGTATAATGTAAGATCTGGCAAATCTAAATCACTAATATCAGGACCGTGCATTAATTAATTAAAATATTTAAAAATGTTTATTAAATTTCACATACAATCTACTAAAGCTTTAGATAAATATATCAATTGCACTTCAATTTTTGCAGCAATAGTTAATAAAGTTATATGACACAATTCATCTGGACTCAATTTTAAAGGTATAACATCTAAATGTTTCTTTTATAATAAATTTGGTGTTAAACTAACTATCTTTATAAATGCTTTAAGTTCTTTAGGTAATAATTTATTCATCTTCATATTCATATAATATTTATACCTATGTTGAATAATCAATATCATCATGTTAATATCGATATATATTTTAAGCATATACTCTTATTGCCTTTCTAAAAGCAGCTGTTGTAATCTATTATTCTTTCCCAAATGTATTTCTAGTCATTTATTTCACTTCCTATAAAAAATCATGTATTGTTTATGCTCCTTCTGGATATATTGACTTTAAAACAGGATAACTATTCATTTAAAAATTATATTCCTATATTTTAAGTATATCTGTACAGAAAATCGCAATATTTGATATCCAGTGGAATCCTTGATTTCATCATTTGTAAAATATTTTTAAAATTTTTCTTTAAATTTCAATATTAATTATTCTTCATCCAAATCAGAAATATCTTATGGCTCATCAATTGATTATTATTTAGATTTAACTTAAATAATTTTATCTGAAGAATTATTTGTATTTTCCAATTTAGCATCTAAAAGTGCTTAATTCTTTAATTCTTAAATGATATATTCATTTTATGTTAAATCAATTTATTATTATTATTATTCTTAAGGTAATGTAAAACTTATACTAGTATTACCAGATTATAAATTAAGAGTTTAATCTATTTCTTTAAGTATTCCATTTCCTTAAGAAAAACAACCCAAATTATTATAAAAGATGAATATCATAAGTGCTTATATTAATTCTCTTTTATTCCATTTATTATTTTTCAATATCTATTACAAAGTATTTTTTAATGATTATTCCCATGGCTTTTAAACTAATATTTTACAAATAGTATCTAATTATTTAATTTTTTCGTCAATACTCTCAAATCCTAAATCTATCCAATTTTTTTCTCCTTCATTTAAATAAAAATGCTATATTAATAAATCATATAACTAATCACTTCCTGATGCTGCTGCTCCCTATAATAATTATAAGATTAAAAAAATTACCATAATTGCGAAGTAATATTTTTCATCCTAGGATAATTTACTTTAAATATTTAACAAACTATCTAGTACATTAAAATAAGGTTTTATTAAAGATGGAAACCATAATAATAATAGTTCATGCAATGCTATTCTACCATAGTTAAAATTATATAATTTAATCAATTATTCTTATAATTGATTAGAATTTACATCACCAATAATTGGCCAAGGAAGACTTTTAATTTTGTTCTCCAAATACTAATTCAAAATAGGAATTTATGGCAAATATTTTTAATCATGAAATTTAGAGACTCTAAACAATTTAGTCTATATTCAAAATTCATTTGTACTTATAAATTATACTCTTTGCCAATATTCTCATAACAATCTATTATTGATTACATAGGAGTTTAATTAAAAATCATTGTTATCTTAGATTCAATTGCAGATAAGATGTTTTGTTCGTCTTTGTAATTATTTACCAAAGTCTCGAATTATTACAAGCACTAATGAAGCTTAAAAATTATTTAAAAATCTATACATGTTCATTGTCTTCCTATGTATTTGTTAGATATTCTGGAAATGCGGTTCTTATTTCTTCACTTTCTTAATCCATAACTAATGATATATTTAATATTATATATATTTTTAAAATTAAATGCACGTGTTCCAAAATATCTTATATCTAAATCTATTCAAACTCTAACTTTTTCATAGAATTACTAAATTACTATAATATCTTGTTAATACATTTATGAACTTTAAATATATAGAAACTTTAATCTTATTGAAAATTAATGTAATTAAAAATTAAAATTGATTACAAACACAAAATAATTAATTAATATGATAAAATCTATTATTATAAAAATATAGTTGAAATTTAGTGTCATTATCAATTTTGAATAAAATTTGGAGACTCTAATAAATATCCTTATTCACTTTATGCTGCTATTTAAAACATTTCTTTGTTTTCAAAAGAAATATAAACATTATTATTTTTAATTTTTCTTCGAGAACTTAATGGTTAAGTTTGGGATATTGAATCCAATTAATTTTAACGATTAAAATAATTATTAAAAATTGTTTTAATTTTGGTTAATTACTTTAATCTCTCATCTATGAATTGTTTTTACTGATTTAATTCATTATTTTTAATAATTTGAAAATATCCCTATAATTTATCTTTGTATTTGCTCATTATATATCTAAATGATATTTAATAATAAATACTTAAAAGGTTTAATTTGCATATTAGTTAAAATGTTTGGTTCATTCTAAGCGATATCTACTTAGATTGAATTTAATTCATCTTCAATATCTTAAAGTTATTGAACTTTATCATTAGATTATAACTAGGTTATAAGTTTTAATGATTTTTTATTGATTGAAGTTAACATCTATTCTAATTCATATTATAAATTATTATATTTAATTTCATAATCATTACTCTATGATATTTATACTAAATTATTGCATTCATTCAATAAAGATTTGATAGCTAATTAAAAATTGACTAATTGTTGTTATTTATAAGTATTTTCATTATTTTCATCAAATTCAAGAGAACAATTATCTTCGCATAATGATTTATAAGTTGGTTAATTAATGGATAGATTTTCAGTAAGAGAATTTTTGGGATGTATAATGTTAAGTTTTTAAGTTTTTTTACAATTAAGGATTGAAAATTCTTAACAATATATTTTATTTTGATTTCTTAAATTAGTATCAAAAAATTAAGCCTTTATTAACTAGGATTTTTACTTATTTTTTTTGATGGAATGAGCATTGCAAAGACTATTAAGGCAAAGATTTCTATTTAATTGAAATAGGTGAATGAGTTATTTTTTTATGACCAATATTTTAAGATAGACTAACTTTATTTTTATTTTTTGTGTTTGTTTTTGTCAGTAATTAATAGATAAGCTTCTAAGGAGACAGATGAGGTTATTATTTACATTCTAAGAAATATATTTAAATAAAATTACTTTTTAGCTCATTTTGACTTTTGTACAATTCGATCATCTTATTAACTTAATTAAATATATTTTCTTTATTGAATGAATTGAATGATTCTAGAATATATAATTTATAATGTTACCATATTATTATGAGAGAAAATGATGATCTATTCTGCTATTATGTTAACTCATTAATTCGTTAGTTTATAATATAATAATAAATTATATAAATCATCTATTTGATTTCAATTACATCTTATTTTTATTGCAAATGCAGTATTTATTTTAATAACCCTTAATTAATAGTATTAGACAGATCAATCACATGTTAAATAAATTTTATTATATGAAATATATTATATTTTCTATTTGATTAGAATTTTGGATTGAATACTAATTTATAGAATATTATTGAAAAGAATTATAATTGTTAATTTAAAATATAAAGAGAATGATTATATTTTATAATAATAATTATTAAATTTATCTCACTTCATAATGTATAATTTTCAAAATGAATCACTATTGGTTTCTGGTCTATAAAATATTGAATCTTAAGTGTAGAATAAAGTTATAAGTTAAATTTATGTATTTAAGAATTTAATATTTAGAAAATGCGATAATTAACTATGATTGACTCTCAAGTTTAAAATGAAAGTTTTAATCAAGATGAGATTGATCCTAGAATTAAAAACAAATATGTTGATTTAAGAAATAAAATACAATTTGAAAATAAAGAAGATGAAGTAGAATTTTTAAATATTATAATTTAATGGAATTAATGTTTGGAATAAAATAAGAGATTAAATTAATAGGTTATGGATAAGGAAACTTAACTAATTTAATATCAATAATAAATAGAATTTCCAGTTTCAAAGATTCATGAAATAGATTATGAAGAGAATTAATAAATATCTTAACTCTCATTATTAATTTCATAAGATTAGAGAATTGAGAATTAAATATAGGAAGTAATAAAAATTGATAAATCCACTTAAACAGATAAATTTGATAATAGAGATGATAAAAATGAATAAACAGATTTAAAAGATTTAGATAAAGAGGATAATTAAAATATGATTGAATTTTTCAATTCTAGTTTTTATAAAGATTTACAAAATAAACAATTTTTAGTAAATGCTTAATTGATAGTATATATATATCTAAATTATTTATTTAGTCTTTGATATAGACTATGTTTTTGATGCATAATGAAAGAAAGATAGAAATAAATGATGTTATTTAATAATAAATAGATAATTTGATAAAGAGAATGAAATAGAAAGATTAGATTAGTTATAATACAATAATTATGATGAAAGAGAGTGTAGAAGTGTGATTTAATTTTATTTTGTCTGGATAGATATTTGTAAAAATCGACATATTAAATAATCTCTAAAATAATTAGTACTATTGTAGTATAAAGTGAAAATCAATCTAAAAATGTTCCATTCATATGAATATTGAAAAAAGCTCATAAAAACATACTACAAGTTCGAATAGTTCACGTAGTTCTTCGTAAATATAGATTAATTATGATATTTATTTAGGAAATAAAGATCGAGATCAAGATCAAATAGCTAAAGAAGAGATAGAAAGACTGAAAAGACAGAATCTACAGATGATAAATAAGGAAGTGATTAGAATTTAAAGATAGAGTCTAATGTACCTTAAACAACAAGAGGAAATAGACATGTAATAAAGATTTAATATCTAAAGTTAACTTATATTAAAGATTTACCAAAAAGACCTCCCAAATGTCCATAATATCCATAATAATTTAGAGAAGTTAAGTTGGTTACTAATAATTTCAGTGTAAGATCTAAAAGAAATGGAATTATAGTAGTTTATTCAGTCAAATTCTTACCATTTATAGATCCGTAACTATTTATATTAAAAGATTTAAGATAAAATAACAATCTAAAAAGAGAGATTATTAAAAGTTAAGAAGAAGCTTTGAGAGAATTCTTAGGTCCTTTTGTTTATTATAGTAATACTATTATTGGAGGCAAAGAATCTGCAACTTTTAATTTTAAATTAGAAAAGCCTATTAAATTTGAAGAGTAATTATTTAAATTCATTATTTTATAGTTAAGAATACTTTTTAGAAATCAAAAAAGTTAAAGTTATTAATATGTAAGATTTAGAAAATCCTAATCCAATTGAAGCTGATAAACCATTAATGTTTTTTAATTATTTGATCAAAGATTTTTTTAAAAATTTAAAATATTAAGAACATGGTAAAACCAGAAAGTTTCATGTATTTTTAGATATTATAATTTTAGGATATATCAAGAAGACAACCTATTCCAGAAACTGAATTATCTGTAATTCCAGGATTTGCTGTTAATTTTTAAACTAATGAATAAGGATTTAGTTTTAAAATTGATATCAGCCATAGAATTATAAGAACAACAACAGTTTTATAATATATTGATTAAATATGGAAAGAATAATCAACTAAGTAAAAATTAAAATTGATATCATAGATAATCAAAAGATGATTTGAGAAAATATGTTACTCATGTAATGACTAAATAACTTGTATTAGCTAATTATGGAACTTATAGAACATATTCTGTAGACAGTTTATTATTTGATTAAAATACAGCTACATTTCCAATTGAATTAGCAGATTCTAAAGGAAAATAAATATTTATAACAATAGATTAATATTTTAAATAAAGATACAATTATGAAATTAAAAATAAGAGAGCTCCTTTACTTGTAATTGAAGATTCAAAAAGTAATAGAAAAATATATTTGGTGGCTGAATTATGTATTATGGCAGGTGTTCCTGAAGATCTTAATGAATTTACTAGAAAATAAATTTAAAAAGAATGTTAAACTAATCCAAAAGATAGATTTGAAAAAATTAAGAAAATGTTATTTGAATTAATCAATAGATAACCATCTACAGGACTTACTATGTAAAAATTGAAAGAAGAATTTGGAATTGAAATTAATACCGCTCCATAATATGTAAAAGCTAAATAATTAAGACCTCCAAATATTATTTTTGGAAATTAAAATGTTTAGCCATAAGGTGATAAAGAAAACTTTTCATTTAATTGCAACAATTAATCTGCTTTCATTAGAAAATATGAAGTAAGAATTGCAATTATTTCACCATATGATTTTGATTGTGATGAATTTACTTAAAATATTCATGAATTAATATCAAAATATGGAATTAAAATGGGTGTTTAAACATAATGTCATTATTTAAGTGGATAAAGATAAAACTATGTTACTGAAATTGAATAAACTATTATGAGAAATATTCCACATACTACTAATATGATTGTTATTGTATTGAATAGATAAATGAAAAATTGTTATGCTCCATTAAAAAAAATGTGTATGTCTGAAAAGTTTGGAGTTCTTACTTAAATGGTATCTAGTGATTCAATTTCAAAATAAAAAAAAGGATTGTTTTCGATAATTTAAAAATTAGCTATTTAAATGATGGACAAAGTTGGAAATTGTTTATGGACTGTTTAATTACCTTAGGTATAAATTAAAAATAATAATAGAAATGGCCTGATAATACTATGATTGTTAGTGTTATTATTGAAAAAAGTAAATTTGCAGGAATGCTTTCTAGTGTAGATAAATCATATTCAAGATATTACAGTTAAATGAGTACAAAGATTGTAGAGAAATGTCTTATTAAAGATATAGGAGATATGATGAAAGCTTCTTTTTTATAATATAAATAAGAAAATGGTTGTTTTCCTTAAAAACTAATTTATTTTAGAGATGGTTTAAGTGAAGAATCGATATCTCATTTATTATAATATGAAACAAGAGAAATTATTTTAGCTGCTAACTAATTATGTTAATTTGGAGATTAAGTCATTATTATAAACATTTAAAACACTAATATTACAAAACTGTTTCGAGAAGAAAGAGATTAATATTTTAATGCATCAGCAGGAACAGTTGTTGATAGTGAAATAACTACCAAAAATTATGAATTTATTTTGGTTCCTGTTTATAGTTCTAGAGGTTGTCCTAAACCAATATTGTATAGAGTTATTTATGATACAATGAAAATGCCTATGGAATAATTATAAGTATTTTTTAATTTAAAGTATCTAGGATTTTGTTTATGGATAATGTTACAATTATTAAAATTGGACAGGATCTATTAAACTACCTGCAATTGTTAAGAATTGTTAAAAAATGATCAAGTTCTTAGTGGAAATCTTATAAGCAGAACCAATAAATAAATTAAGATCATCATACTATTATTTATGATGATTATTATCAAAAATAATAGAAATAAAAGCAAAATATTCAGATATATAAATTCTTTTTAAAATTGATTGGATTCTTATCCAAATCAATTATTTTATCCACTAATTTTTGATAATTCTTTCCATATTCTAGTGATTATAATTTCATTTTCAAAGGAGTCTTTTATCTTCTTTCTTACATAGGTCTAAATAAGGTATCTATTTCTTTAGTTTATACATTCAATTCCATTCGATTAATATGTTAAGTAAAATCATAACTACTGTTATTTCTTTTCTTATTCTCATAATGAGTTTATTCTTTAAATTATGATCTTTAATTATTTATAAATGAATTTGAATTGTAACTATTTCTTTTATCAAAAGTTCTTAGTTTTTTTACTCTAAATTGATAACAAACAAATGGTGTTTATAATCTCTCTTTTTCTAATTTCCTCATTATCAATTCTGTTTTGCTGTCTTTTTTATCATAAATTTATTGTTTATTTGATTTAGTTTATATAAATCTTTCTAAAAATTAAGTCTTTTGTTCCTCAAACTCTGTTAATAATTTATAATCTATCATGTAATTTTTAATTAATTAAATATATATTAATATTCATTTATAGACAGACATATGCTATCTCATTTATATTATTTTTTCTAATTAACTATTCATAGTCAAAATTTTAATATTGATCTTCTACACTTATTTAAATTATAATCTAAATTACTCAAAAGGATAATATCAATTTAAATATTTAATTCCATTACTACTCTAATTTTTATTCTATTCTATTTAATTTATAGATATTATTTAAGAATTTTGTCATATATTTCAATATCCATCATTTAGACCTCCTTTATAATTTTTGTTTATAAAAAAATAAAAATAGTATTTAGTAAATAATAATTATAAAATTATATTAAAAGAAAATTTCATTAAAAATATTTGATTGATTCTAAGAGTTTTATAGATTAATTATAATTTTAAATAAATTTTGATTTGGCTAAAGCTCTACATTACTCTTCTTTTGCTTTTTATGTAATTTTTACTAAATTCTCAGATTAATTTATTTATGAATTCAACTCTTATTTTTTCTTATACTTATTCTTTCAATTTAATCTCATAGTTAAATGTATTATGATGAAAATTTGAATAAAGATTGAATAATTACTGCTATTATCATAATAAATTAAGATTATGATAAATTAAAAAAATGCCAAAGACTTTAATTATTAAACTTTATTTACTCATATAATTAACTATTATGATTGATAATACAATTGTAATTTGCTTAAAATATTTGGGGTAAGTATTTATGAAGAAAATAAATGATTGGACAAAAAGGATTATAATTCCAATAAAAGATTGATTGTTTTATAATATTGATATTAGTTTTAAGCAAAGGAATAAAGTTATAAAAAGCATTAAATAATTCTTTTTATTTATCTAATGATTTATATAAAAGGTTAAAATTGAATTTATTTGCTAAAAATAATAAAAATAGCTGATACTGTCTAAATTTTTGAAGAATAAAAAAAGGTTGTAGTTGAGGATATATGGTGTGAAAACTTAATATAAATAAAGAATGAGAAAATATTACTATTTTATGAATTGTGGGGTGAATTTATGAACATTTGCTTATAATTCTAGAATAGAAATATTAAATTTAATTAAAATTGTGTTTAAAATGAATTAATTGAATAAAGAGGAATAGTTTAAAGAATAATTAGACATATTATTATGATGAGATTTTGATTAAGTTTATGTTTGAAATATAGATTGTGAAAATTTGAAATGTTTTATTTGTATAGTTGTTATAGATAATTAATATTAAATATAATAAAAATGAAGGAGAGAGTTAAAATTATAAGGTAGTTATTTTAGTAATTAGTTTATCAGTAGTCATCATCCTCAAATAAAAAAGTTTTGGTATTGGTAGATGAATTAATTGATTTCTTTTTTTGTTAAGAAATAGTTTTGTTAGATTTGATAGATTATCTAGAGTTGGTAATAGTCCAAGATTAAACATTTTTATCTGAAGTATTGATTAAATCAGTTTCGAATTTGTTTTTTCTTCTAAGATATTTAGATCTAACTTCTTTGACTTTGAATGAATTGAAATTGAATTGATAGACAGTTTATGAATGTGGCTCTGTATCTGTGAATTCAGGAACTCTTATATGACAACAATTTCCCATCGTAAGTAATAATTTATAATTAATATTATTTTAATCATTAAGGTTCTTCTTCTTCTTCTTCAGATTCTTCTTCTATAAGTCCAATATCATCTTATAATATAAACAAGAATTACAATTTTATTAAGTTTAATTTAAAAGTGGTGCATCTGTAACTTCATCAAAAACCAATTCAAATTTATTATCAAGATAATTATCACAAATAATCTTCTTTGGATTATAAAAATTAGGTGGTGGAAATATAGGATCTAAACATATTCTTAAATTATTTATAATTATTACTTAAATGCATTATCTAACATTTATGGTATTAATTTAGATAATAATGGACAACATATTTCAATTGATGGATTAGTATTAGCTTCAATCATTAATACTTTAAATTATTCATCAATCATGAAATCTAATCCAAATATTTCAAATGTATTCTCTTTTTTATTCTAATCCATTTTACCATAAACAGCTCTAAATTAATCTGTTGCCATTTACTAATAATATACTATTATAATTATACTTTCATTTTTTAATATATTTTAGTAAAATCTCCTCCTAAATTCTCTATATAAATTGCAAAATCTTCAAAACTTACCTTATTCCCTTTTTCATATTTTCCATAATCTTCTCCTTTCTTTTAAACTGCATCATTTGTTAAATGAATCATTTTATTTGTTAAATTCTTCATTGAAAATTCTTTACTTGATGTTCTAACATAACCTTCTGTATACCAATAACCCTTTTAATTTCCATTTATTGAAACATACATACTATAACATCTTATATCAAACTTTCTTTTATTATAAAGTAATGGACGATCTATATATAATTAAACTATAAAAGTTTTGTAACTTCCATTTTTATGCATTTCCCTTGAATTCAATATTTATTATATTTCATTCAAATCTTCTGAAATTTTTATTCCATTGCCTCTATTTGTTATTTCTCCTGGTTTTATTATCCATATATTTCTACGTTTATCTTATTCTTAATTTATTATTAACTATTATCTCTCTTTATATGCATCCAAAAATTATTAATATTCTGGACCATCTTAACTTTTAATATGATAAGTAACAGGTAAATTATCAAATACATTTATATTCTATGATTCATAATATGCTTTCATATTATAAAATAAAGCCTTTTTATTACCTAAATGAAAATTGTTTTCCAAATGATTATGAACCTTTATAGGCTCATTATAAATTTATAATTTAGACTTAATATTCTATGCTTACTCTAATGTTAATAATTTAGAAGATCTTCCTTATCCATTCAATATTTAACTATATTATCTAATCTCATTAATAGATATAAATTTAATCCATTAAGAATTTACTAATTTATTATTTTTTATCTATTATTCATTATCACTTTAATCATCTTATTTATTTAGTCCTATTGATCCTATTGTTGTAATAGAAGAAGATGCACTTTAACATGTATTTTATTCATTTGGATTTCTATTTAATGATTTCATATTCTCATGAATCTAATTCACTTTTAATTGAGTCCAAACAAAATGACATTATTCCATCTCATCTTATATACTCCACCACCAACGATATTTTATTATTTATCTGACTAACATACCATTATTACCTTTACCAACATATGCCTTATAAATGTTTAATGTTGGTTAAACAAATATACAATTTGATAGATTCAAAATATTAAAATAATGTCTCATAGAAGCATATTTTTCTTAAAATACAACATCTTAAGGGTATTTTGGATCAATAAAATATATTCCATCAAACTTTTTTTATTTTTTTTTTTTCTATTTTGACACTTTTTATTATTATTATATTTATTATTGTTATTATTACTACAATGGTTGCAATATTATTGGTCCTGTCAATTAAGGCATTTATTATGATAAAGACATGCCAGTTATATTAGATATATTTTCAAATTTTGAATTTCTAGATGTTTTTAACAATTATGAATTTTTTCTAGGTTCAATTAATTTTAAAGCTTTTACAGTTTCTATATCATTCAATCTGTTTTATCTATCAATCTCCATCTTTTATTTCAACTTTTCTATTATATCTCTCTCTACTTTAGTATCCATAGAATTATTTAGAAATGCCTCCTATAATTTAATTCTTTCTAATGTTATCTACTATAATACTTATCACATGAATTGGTTTAGATTAAATATTTAATGTATTCTAACCATCAACCTAAGGAAACATCTATAAAAAGCGACCCTACTTAAATTTCTAATGTAGATTAAAAGATTTTTTATAAGATTTTGGAGAATTGGCATCTATTATAGATAATTTTAATTACTCTTATTCTTTTTAAGATGATGAATCTACTTCAAAACATTTGTATTGTTAAATCTCTCTAGTTTTGGCAATTATTATGAAGGCATTGGACTTTCAGATCTATCTAAATTTTCATATCGATATTATGTTATATGATTTGGATTATTTAAAACTGATTTCACAGAATCTTTGACGAGTTCTTAAATTCCTGGAGATTTTAATAATTATTCCATAGATCTATGTTTTTAAGGAGTCAAATGTTCGCTAATTTTAATATTCTACATATTTTGAAATGCTTAATATATTATTTGGCTAATTAATACTAAAATTTAAATAAGGCATTGTTATTTGTTCTTTATCAGCCATTTTATATTATTATAATAATAATAAAAATTTATATATACATTCATGACCAAAGATTATTAAATGAAGCATTACTAACACTTTTTGAAACCCAATCTAGATTCAATAACTAAGGTATTAATGTAAATAAAATTACTGATTTTTATGTTAAATTAGGTTTAAATGTTGGTAAATATTTATTTTCTAGTTTAAGTAAATTTTCTTATTTCTTCTATTAATAATCCAATAATCTTAACTCTACTTTTTCATTCTTATCTTAATTATTAGATCCTCTTTTTTAAATTTATGGTTTAAATGTTAATTTTTAAACAATTTCTTTATCTTTTTTGATTTGTTCAGTCAAAATATGATCATTTCTCTTTTCTAACCAACTTATTTATTGATTAACAAATTCTTCAACATTTACTTCTCCCACACTATTTTTCTTATATTTCTCTTTTTCCTTTTCCCATAATTCCTAAAATTACTTCTCTTATTCTTCTTCCTACTATTTCTTCATTTCTTATTATTATTTAACCCATTCTTATTTTTTCTATATAATTTATTATTATCTTATATGAATAGGAACATAGTATTCACATTCAGTCTTGATTCTTTATCCCTATTATTCCATAATTTCTTATCTCTTTTGTCTTTAATTATTTACCTTCTATTTTTTTGGTGTTTCTTTCTCTTATAATTGTTTTATCTCTACTGTCTATTATCCTTACACTTATTTTTTGATAGTATCACTCACTTTAAATTTAATCTCTTAAGTTTAAACTATCTTATGATTTTGATCTTATTTATATTAAACATCTTCAGCCACCTCTGCTTATTCTTTCAAATCTTATTCTATAACAATTGTTATCTATTGTTAAGATTTGTTTAAGTTTAAATTCTTTTAGCTTATATTAATCTTTTATAATACTTAATTATTTAGAAATCTTTTATTTTTGGTAAACTTGGTAACAAATCAGCTTACACAGACATATCTTTAAATTAACAAATTTGCTTATATGACTCATCTTCTTCAATCAATTATTTTAATTTTCTATCTAACAAAATGCAACTCTTCTGATTTAAGAATGGTCTAGCTTATAATTATTATTTCTCTTTATTTTTCTCTTCATCCACTAATTTTTATATTTACTTAGTTCTTCTTTTCTCAAAATCATACAATCTATTCACAGTTTCTAAAAATGCTATAAAAAATTTAATTTTATTTATTACCTTCATCAGATTCTAAAACAGCTTCATTTTTCTATTTATCTTGGTCTTCCTTTTATTTTTACTCTTCTTTTTTCTTTTTCACTTCCTCAGACTTCATTTAAGATTGTTTTATATTTTCTTATACTTTATCAAATTCTATATTATAGTTATTTTTCATACTTTTGACAGGTTTTTATTGTTATTAAATTGGTTTCTTAGGGATTTCGACAACTGATTTTTATGGCTTCTTAATCAGTTCACATTTCTTCTTATTAAGGGCATCCTTAAATGCAATTGATGAATTAGTATATTTCCCATTCTGAAGCTTTAGTATAGATGACTCATAATTGACTCTTGTAGTTTATACTTATCTGAGTGGAGATAAGGAATTCTTAGTAGATTCAATTTGTAGATATCTTTCTAGTGATTGAGATTTTGCACTCTCTTTTGAGTCATCTAATTATTGATTCATTATGAAATAAATAAAATTAGAATATTTAGATTAATAATAATTATGAATGAGAATATATGTTAATATTGTAAAATGATATTTGAATCAAATGAATAATTGGCAAATCATGTTAAAAGAGTATTAAAGCATAAATAGAGGATAGTTTTGTATAAATTCTGATTATGGTAATTCAAATAAATTGGAACAGAAACATGATTATGTAACAAAATCAGGATATGCAGAATTGAAACCAAGTGTAAAACAGTAGGATCCACCATCAGTTAAGAATTAAGTGGATATACATTAGTATGTAGATTTAATAAATCAGGACTAAATAAAATCTAATCTTAAGACTAATGATGATGATTTTAAGAATTTAGAAAATGCAGTATTGACAAAGAGAGAGGATGAATTAATTGATTAAATAGATAAGTTAAAGTAAGATAGATAATAAATGAGAGTGGTTAATGATTAAGATGAACACATTTATTCAATTCTGTTACAAGAAGTAGAATTAAAGATGGAGAGAGAATTTCAATGTAGAATTGAAAAAGAACAAATTCGTAAAGTGATCAATGAAATAGATTCATGGAAGATGTCAGTATTAGAAGAATAAAAGAAATAGATACTTGAAAAACTATTAGTAAAAAGAGAAGATTTGAAAAATAAGCAATTATAATTAATAGAAGATATAAGAATATATACAAGAGGACATAAGACGTTCTTTTCTATGGAATAAGCATAAAGAATTACCGATAATAGAATAATAGCATCCGCTTAATATTCAGAGGCTAAATATAATTAGTTAAATTACACACAAGATTAGAATATTTGGATGCAGAGAGAAATAGGATTTTGGATAATTTAGAAAGAATCAAATTAGGTGATTTTGGAGAAGTCAGAAGAGGAGAGTCATCAAAGAATAGTATAAGAAATAGCTAATAAACATTAAATGATTAAAGTTAGATAAGAAATCATTAGAATTATGAAGAGATTGCTAGAATGAAAGAGAAGATAGCATAAGATGCTTAGAGATTAGATCAATTGAAAAGAGAATAAATGGAACGAGTAGATAGATTAAAAACAGCTAGACCTTAATCTCATTTATCAAATTAAGGGATAGATGAATTATAATAATTAAAGAATGATTATTGATAAGCAGGAGGTTAAGATCCTAAGTTTTTAAATGATGTTAATAATTTAGAATCATTTTATAAAGGAGCAGTTTAATAACCATAATAATAATAATAATAATAATAATAATAATAGTAATTAAATTAATTTTAAGTATAGTAGTAGCAACCAATATAATTAATTTAATAATAGTAACCTATTTTTATAAATGCTTAATAATAAGAGATGAAGTCATTAAAAGAGAGAAAGAAAGATTTTAATGATCCATTCTAATAATTTTCAAGAAAGAAAGAGTTTTTTTTATAAAATAATGTAAGAGGAGTTGATTTGACAAGAGAAGAATAAATATTAATGAATTTATAAGCTTAGGAAGTAGATGCTTTGAGAATGATTTCAAGAATTCCAATAGGTACAGAGATATACAGATTTAAGATGGAATAATATAAGGAATTGTCAACAATGAGAGCAGAGATGGAAAAGATAATTTAAGAATAAAGATTATAGAGAGTAAGAAGAAATTTTGAGAAAAAGAGAAGAGAAAAGGATAAAGAATTTGAGAATAATAAATGGGTAGATGATTAAAGGAAATTTATAATAGAGAATAGATTGAGAAATGATTTTGGAGAGGTTAGAAAAGAGAGTCATTTATATGATCCAGCTGAAGGATTAGTTATTCATTGGGATTATGTATTAGGATTACCAAGAAAAACTAAATTAGCGTAATTTGTTTTTGCAGTATTTAATAATATGCAACAATTAAATTAACCAAAATTAATAGAACCATATGATTGTGAAATAGAAGGAGAGAGTTCAACTAGAGTATTGATAGGAGAAACTAGTTAATTATATGAGATTCCTGCTCATTAAGAAGTATTATTAATAATAGAAGTTTAATTACCAGTAAGTAAAAGATTAGAAGAAAACATTGGTAAGACTTAATCATATGGTTGGACATAAATAGATTTATTTGATTAATAAAGATAATTAAAGAGAGGCAAATTTAAATGTCCATTATATAAAGGACCAACAGATGCTACTATTACAATAGAAAATATTGCAAAGTTAGAACCTATTCCTAATGCATGGTTTCATATGAGAATTACATATCCAAATGACGAAGATTTAGGATAAGTTAGATCTATATATCCAGAATAAACAGCTTTGGAATATAATATACCATATATTCATTTAAGAAGCTTATTTGATAGAAATTATGAAGCTGCTATTGAAGGGAAGGAACCAAAGAATAAAGATAATGGAGAATTCAGTTTAAATGGTTAAAATTATAAAGTAACAGAATAAGTTGAAGTCTTTGGAAATAAAAGAAAAGCTACTCCATAATTAAAAGAATATGTATTAAAGGGAGATATGAGAAAAGGTTATAGAATTTAAATACATTTCATTTAAAATAAGATTGCTAATAATTTTATGAGGATTATGTGTTCAGCATTTTAAGAATAACAAGTAATGTTTGATCCTAGTGGATAACCACTTGCATTTAATACTACTATTCATGATCCTAGTAGTCCTAATCCTGGATAAAATACAGAATCTAATCCATTACCACTTGTTGAAGCAGATCCTTAAATGAAAGAAATTAGTAATAAAGCAGCTAGATCTATTCTTATTGAATTCAATGAAGAATTTCGCTTTTTTATAATTACTAAGAATAAGCTATGATGACTGGAAAAGTATTATTATTATTATCATAGTTATTCAGACTATTTATCTTTTATACTATTTGTTAAACCTGATGGTAGTGTTAGAACTGGAAGAAATACTTTAAATCTATATAATCCTCCACTTAAAAGACCTCCATTAGATGAATCTAATGTAATTACACTCTCTATTCTGATAGTTATCACAATCTGGAATCAAATTAGATTACTCCTTGTATGACTTTGAATATAATGATGAAGATATGATCAAATGCAAAAATTAAAGAGTCTTTTGATATAATTTATTTAATTAATATATATGTAACATTAAGGTGATTTCATGATCAATGTATACTTACTATCTTATACAAGGCCGATTTAATTTTAAAATAACTTCAATGTCCTGTTTGCATTAATGAATTTAATAACCCATTTCTAACTAAATGTGGTCATTGTTTCTGCTATGTAATTTATCAATTATTTAAAAAAAGAATTGCATCGAAGAAGTCATCAATAGGTATCATAAATGTCCCTTATGCAACATAGAATTAAATAAAGCAGATCTCTTTAAAAATAATCAGATTCATCAAATCAAATGTAATTTATTCATTATTCACAATAGAAATAATCGATGATCAAAAAAAATAATAATTATCCAATAAAGTAAACAATGTATTTGGAGATCAAAATACCAATAGTTTCTTGCCTGATTACAAAATGATATCAGATGTAAGTTAATCATATAAGCAAGATATTTAAAAATGCTGTTTAATAAATGTACAATTTATATGAGAGCAAATACATTGATGCTATAGATGAATATAAAGCTAGATAATAGGAACTAAGAATTGATTATTAACAAAAAGTGGAAGCTGAGATAAATGTATTTTAACAATAACGAAATATAGGATTAAATGAAAGAACAAATAACTAACAATTATAAAGAGGCAGCTAAACAAATTGAAAATAGTTTTTAATAATTAAAAGATTATTATGCAGAATGTGTTTATAAGACTTTACATTAATTTAAATGCGAACAAATTGATGTAAGTATAAAAATTAATTAAGATTCTAATCTAAATTGTTTTACCTAAATAAAATATACAATTTCCATGGCCATTTAAAGTAAATAATAGGATTAGTTCAATTGCTGAAGTAATTCATTAATATTTTGATAAAAAAAATGATCCTATATAGAATTTCGATCCTCATAAATTGAAAATAGTATTTTGCAAGCCTTAAGATCTCTATAAAATTAATCAATAAGTAGTAAAGAATGATATTGATGTTATTTCTCAATAATATCAAATATATCCTATGAATAGTGAGATCTTTTTAGCATCCTTAGGTTAGGTTAAATAAGGTTCAATTATTGTTGTAATTGGTGATATCAGTTTAAAGAGTCAATAACCGAAGGAATGCATTACATACAAATTCAATAAAGATAGATTAGTTGATTACTTTAGTTGTTAACAATGTAACATACATTGGGTTTGTTCAGTTTGCAAAGATTTTTGTCATCAAGGACATCAATTAATTGTTTATAGACAATAAGTAAAACCAGATTGGGCTTGTTGCTATTGTGTATCGAAGGGATTCTGTAAGGCATTAAATAAAAATAATTAATGATTAAATAATTATTAATATTATTGTTAATTATGAATTAAATCATTCAAGAAAATAATTCTTTAGCTAGTAATTAAGCATAAGGGTCAGATCCTGAGACAAAAAAATAGTAATATTAATTCATTTCGAGCGAGAATTAAGTAATAAGAAAAGGAAAAAAACAAACAATTCATGAATTTTACAAGATCAAAACTGATAGATATTTGGAGAGTTTGAAATCTAAAAAATCAAATGATACTTCAGAGATTATGAATAATAGTTTTTAAGCACCAAATAATCCTGATTTAGAGCAAGAATAAATTTAAGAATAAGAATTTTAAATTCGAAAGAATGATCGAAAATAATCAACAAAACAATTTTATTAGAAGAATGTCTTAAAAATGTTAGAGAGATTTGCAGCAAAAAATGAAATAGTTAAATCTGTAAATGAAAACATAAATTAAAATTAAACAAATTAAAACGATATTAATTATTCCGAAAAGCGAGATGAAGAATCTTAAATATATATGAATAACTAGTTATATTGTGAATCATTAAAATTGATAGAACTAAAAAAGAACGTAGAAATAATCGAATCGAAATAATAATTTGTGACATACTTAAGCAATGATGATATTTTGAAATTTTAGGAATAATAATAATAATAAAAATAATAAGAGTAATAATAATAATAATAATAAAAATAATAAGAGTAATAATAATAATAATAAAAATAATAAGAGTAATAATAATAATAATAATAAAAATAATAAGAGTAATAATAATAATAATAAAAATAATAAGAGTAATAATAATAATAATAAAAATAATATGAGTAATAATAATAATAAGAGTAATAATAATAATAAGAGTAATAGTAATAGTAATAATTATAATAATAAATAAAAGATAATAATAATAAACAATAAGATATAAGTAATTTTGATTTAAATCCTAATTAAAAAGTAAGTGCGATGAAAGGGAATCGTAGAAATTAATCAATTTAAAAATAATAGGCAAAGGTTTAATTTCCTTGTGTATAATAAAATGATTCAGTTTAAGAAGAGATATAAAATCTAATATTAGGATAAAATGAAGAAATAAAATTAGATCTTAGTAAATTAAATGCTATAAATAAAAATGATAGAAAGAAAAGAAGAAGTAAATAAATAAAGATTAATAATTAGATGAAACATAATCAGCTAATAGTAAGAGATCAATAAGATCAAATTGGACAACGAAGACTTTTAAAGAGAAAGCAGAAGAAGTAGCAGTTCCAGCAGTAGGGACTGCATTAGTTGGTTCTTTAGGTGTAATGTTGGCAAAAAATGTTTTAAAAGGGAAATAACAATTATTAGGAATAGTACCAGCATTAGCCTGTGGTGCTTATTATTTTTATAAAGTTAAGAAATAGAATGAAGTTGAGGTTGAATTTGATGATGAGAATGAAGATGATGTAGATTCTGAGGACGAATAAGATAGTACCAGATTAGAATAATGAGAATAATAATATACTATTATAAATAAATAAATCAGTTCATAGGAGTAACAAATTTATGATTTCTAAATTCTCCATACATATATGTTTTATCTTTAGAGGTATATTTACCTTTACCATGCCATTTATCTTAACTCCATTCCCCTTCATAAATATCCCCATTTCTAAAATAAATTTGATAATATACCCGAAAGTATAAACTCCCTTTCCATGTTTTTTATCTCTAATCCAATCTCCATCAAATTTATCATTAGTCATACTATAATAGTACTATCCTTTTCCTTATTTTTAATCTTCAAACCATTCTCCCTAATAAATATCACCATTAGCATAATGCATAACTCCATAACCAGTTCTAAAATCTTTTTTAAATTATCCTTTGTAATGATCCTCTAATTGTATGTATATATATAATTTACTTGATGCTTAATAATAGAATTCCCCTTCTCCATCTTTTTTACCATCTTTAAAATATCCTTAATAAATATCTCCTGATTCATATTATAAATAACCTAATCCATTCATCATATCATTTTCAAATGATCCTTTATATATCTATTTACCTTCACACATTGTATAAACTCCTTTACCACTTTTTTAATTTTTTAACCATGTTCCATCAAATGTATCTCCATTCTAATAAAATATCTTTCCTATTCCATTTAATTAATCATCCACCCATTATCCTTCTACTCTTGCTCCATCATTAAATCTCATAATACCAAAACCATTTCTTTTATCATTCTAAAAATCTCCTTTATAAATCTCTCCATATGCATATTTAGCCTCTCCTTAACCATGTTTCTATCCTTTATTCCATTATCCATCATAATATTCATCTGTACTATAATAATAATATTTTCCTATTCCTTATTTCTAATTATTAACCCAATTTCCATCATAAGTATTACCATTCAAATAATAATATTTACCCTATCCTTCTTTACATCCATTCTTAAAATTACCACTATATCTCTCTCCATTCATAAAAAAATAATGTCCATAACCATTAAACATATCTCCATCCCAATCTCCTACATAAATATCCCCATTATTATAATAATTTATCCCTCTCCCTTATCTAATATTATTTATTCAAAAACCTATCCTCTTTTCTCCCACTAATTATCCTTCATAACGACTTCCATCCACATACTTCTTTATTCTACAATCACTCCTCAATAAACCTTTATCATCATACACATTCAATCCCTTAAAATCTTCCAAAATCTTTCTTTTTTGCTTTAACATCATTTAATTACTTACTTATGTTAATTCTTAACTATATCCACTTATGTTTTTCGCTTATTTACCTTCTAAAATTTATACTAAATTTGTTTATTCATTCTCTTCAAACATTATATTATATAATTATATTATATATATATTATTATTATTAATTCTCATTATTTATCACAACATAAGTATTAACCAAATTTATATTTTTCTATGGGGATTAACTTATCAAAATTGTATATCGATCCACACTTATAACATTTTAATTATTATAAGTATTCCTATCCCCTTTTGCATATTAAATGTTATTTTTATTAAATTGTTATATATGTTACCATTTTCTTACATTTATTCTTACAGTAATAGCAGTGATGTTGATTAATATCAAAACACTTCCCTTTACATTCATTACAAATATTTATGTTTGTTACTAATCTTACCTTTATTTAAACCTCTATTTTAAAATATTGTTAACAGCATCTGCACTACAATTCTTATTAATAATTTTATTCACTCAAACAAAGATTGCATTTTAAATTAAAATCTATTTTTTAATTTTAAACTTCATCTAAATTTATCTCTGCAAATTAATTGCACAAATGACATATACCAGAAATATGTTATTTTCTCTTCCATTAACTTTTATCTTGAATGATTTATTTTTATTTAAAATCTTCTCTTGATAATTTTAGTTCTGTACAATACAAGCTACATTATTCATGTTATTATTATAGAAATATTTCAATACCATTTTCCTTCATATTAGTATCATCTACATCTAATATATATATAGGTTAACCATCTTTTTCTATTTTAATTCTATTTTTCTTAGTTTAAATAGATGGATCTGAAAATATATTATCACATCCTTATAAATCAGCTATTACAAATAAACCACCACTTTCAATATAAGAAAAATGACTAAAAACTGAATAATAATAAAATTCTTGATCACTACTACAAAAATTGGTAGTATACTTTTCAAATCTAACATTTTTATTAGAATATTTCTAAAATAAATATTATATATCTATAAAAGTTTCTCCATAAATTGTAGTCATTCCATACAATGGTTTATCAAGTTTATATAAAGTAGGTAAAACATAAAATATTAATGGTATATCCTTAGATTTAAATGATTTTTAATTAAAAAAATAGGCCATTTAAAATGCATATGAAGAAGAATAAAATCTTGATTCAGCTTACAACTCTGCTATTTTAATTTCTTATTCATTATGTTAATTTTTTAGAAAATTCTCTTAAATTATTTTAGGAAATTTTAAAATAATAAACTAGTTGTTGATTGCATCAAAAGCTTTAACAATTTATGTTTTAAAATTAACATCATTATTTGTACTAAATTCTGAATTATCTATTTATACTTCTAAACCAGTTTAACCCTTTCTTGCATTCCTCAATACATGTTCAGCAAATTCTTCCCAAAAATTAACTTTATTTTATTGATCGTAAGAATTCTAATCAACAAAAAGTTTGAATTATTAAAAGGAAGCTTTATAAAACATTTTTTTTTTTTATTCTTAAGGAATCATTTATGATTATTTTAGAGATTAGTGTAAAGTAAATTTAACCAATTCAGATAATTCCTTTGGCTATTTTTTTACTGTAATTGTAATAAAGGGAAATGCTTCCTTCATTTTTTTAAACATTATATCAGTGGTATCACTAATTTTAACACAACATAGAAAGTTTTTCTTTTTTATATCCTTATACTTTTCCAAAACTTTTTCTAAATATTTTTCTGGCATTTTATATTTATAATCATCAGAATCTAATTCATGATATTTTTCTCCATGACATGGTGAATCAGCAATTAAGAAAGTACACAATAAGCTTTCTGGATTTCTTGATATATTTAATTTCATAGCTTATTCAAATCCTCCTACAATATCTTCTGCTTCATCACCACCTCCTTTTGCTTCTAATTTTGAAATATAATCTATAATTTAATCAATATTATGAGTAAGATTTCGATATGATATTTACTCATTCTTATCACAAAAATCTCTATATCCTACAAATCCAACCCTTACTGAATATCCTTTAATTGATTATTAAAATTCATTTATGATATTTACAATTGTATTTTACATTTCATTTTTCCATGGTGACATTGAACCTGTCAAATCCATAATAAATACAACATCAATAGTATTACATTACTAGAGCTCTTATTTAAATCTATGTAATTAAACTGTTTCACAGAGTAATTACATTTCACCTTCTTTTAGCATTTCATCAAAACTTTTGTTATATTTATAATATTGATTTGTACAAGGTAACAATTTATTTGATTTTAATTCAATTTAATCCCAATCAACATGTTATTTATTACATACTTTGTTAGGACACCATCCTTTTAAATATGCTATACAATATTAAGATAGAATATCCATATGTTTTCCACAATCACAATTATCTTGCTTCATGCATAATTCTTCTGGATTAATAAAACTTATTTATGAAATTTTTTCAGCTATTTCTCTTAATTCTTTCCATTTACGATGATTAAAGGGGCATTTTTTTTTTCTGCATCCATTAATTATGTAATTTAAACAAATATTCTATGCCCATTCTTTGTGGATTAATATACAAGCCTTTTTATCACAATTTAAAGTCTTGCACAAATTATTTGGAAAAATGCCTAAAATTGATGAGTCCATTGATAAAGAAAGTTAAATTTCATTTAGATTTAGATGCCATAATTGGCAATTTTAATCTTGACACTTTTCATCTTTAAACTTTTTATTTGAATCATCTTCTTGATCTTCTTCTTACTATTCATTTTCCCAATCTTAGTTCATTTGCAAAAATTTAACACACAATCCAAAATATGCCCTCTAATGTTCTTTTTAACATTAATTATCTTAACATAAAATTGAATCAATGCAGATCTTGTAATAATCTATACTATTCTAATCCATTATAATTATAATTATTATTGGAATTAAATATAATGATTTTTAACTAATTCTTATTTAATTATTATTTATTAGTTTTTAATAATTTTAAATCAGCAACAAATAAATTATTTGAATAAAAACTATATTCATTATTTGTATAGTTGTAGTGAAAATCAAAAATGAAATTCTTCTAGAATTAATTTAAATAAAAATGAACAAAATTAAGAGAAAGCCTATTTAATAGAATAATTTCTTTAAATTCTTTGAAATTTAGGACTTAATTTTGATTAGTCATAAAATATAATATTATTAACATTAGAGTGGTTGAATGAATAAATTAATGAATTTAGTTTTTTATTTGAAAAAGAAAATCTTTGTTTTCTCTTAAATTTATATAGCAAACTACAATTTCTAAAACAAACTTAAAATTATTGAATTTAAAAAATGATAGTAAATAAAGGTAGATTGATATATACCTTGATAATGATAGCTATTTTGTCATAAATAGGTGAGTCAAATAAAAATTGTAAGTTATATCCATTCTCTGCTAAAGATTGCATTGAAAAAACAAATAATCTTGCATGTAATTTATAGTAATGAGATTAGGCCTTTACTATTCTTTTCTCAATAAATGTGAAGAGATTTAATTAACAAATTAAGGATGTTCTCCATATTTAAATATGGAAGCATGCTTAAGATAATTGACAGATCAGCGGTAAAATAGAGTTTAATGTAAATATTATATATATGAGAAATCAGGTATTTTTCAATAGAGATGTATGGAAGTAAAAAAGATTTAGTAGGAATAATATGGATGTTCAGAAATGTTTAATAAATATGCTTGTATGAGTGTAGAGAAATAATTATGTATTTGGGAGAATAATAGGTGTAATAAGTTACAGGATAATATTACAAATAAATCTAGATTATGTAATATATTTACAAAGCCAGTGACTCCATATACATGTTCTTCTTTACCTTATGGTCTATGTAAGAATTGATGAATAAAGATAGGTATGAGTAATGGATTTGAGGGAGACTTTTAGTGTATAGAACTAAAGTAAAATTAATTATCATATTTCTCATGTAATGAATTAGGATTAAATGAAGAGAGTTGTTTAACTATAAATAAGGAAAATTAATATTGTATATATATTTTAATAGGAAATTAGGTACTTTTGAAGATAACAAATGTACAGAAATAACATTATCATAAATAAGATCTTGTGATTAAAAACTAAGTCAATTTGCATGTTTATAAATAACGAATATGGATATATAATGTGAATGGGCAGATTAAAAATGTAGAAAATTTTAAATTGATTCAAATTGGAATTGTGATACTTAGAATCAAGTAAATGTTTCTGTTTGTTAATTATCGACAGGATTATGTTATTATAATGAAAAATAACGTAAATGTTTGAATGTTGATATAAATCACATTAATATGAATATGATATAATGTGATACTCCAGGTTTATCAAAGTAAGCTTGCTTATCAATTCAGCATTAGAAATGTTCATTTGCTAAAGGGAAATGTTAAATATTATCTGAATTAGATCTTAATACTTTTTAATGTCATATGGATTTAAATAAATTAGCTTGTGTTAATATTAAGACACATTTCTAATATTGTTTTTGGAATGGATAAAATTGTGAAAGAAAGGTAATTAATTAAGATTATGATTGTCCTTTAAAATTAGAAAATGATATTATTAGAGTGAATGGAAATGTTTGTTAAGCAATATCTAAAGATAATGTAAAATGTAAATATAATGAATAAACAAATTTATGTATATAGAGTTAAGAAAATGATAAATGTAATACTCCATTTATAAATAAAAATGGTTGTCTCAGTATCATAAACAATGATGAAACATGTTAATGGACAACTTAAGGTTGTAAATATATTTAAGTTATATTATATGAAACAAAATGTGCTAGTCTGAAGAGTTCAAATCCAATAGCATGTTCTTAAGTTCTTGAAAAAGAAGAAAATGTAGGTTGTTATTTTGATGTAATAAAATAATAATGTGTAAAATTAACAGTTGAGATATCTTAAACTGCAACTAAAAAAGAAATCCTATAATATTAAAAGGATATGGAATTACTATCAAAAATAAGTTGCAAATAAAGAGAAAAAGGTTTAAATAGAATAGCTTGTTCTACTATTACAACTAAAGGTATTGCATGCATGTGGGATAGAGATAAATGTATCTAAATAGAAAATAGAAAGGATATTCAAACAATTGATTGTTTACATTTAATTTATGCAAATCATAAAGCATGTGCATATGTTTAATTAGGTGGTGAAATCTGTAGATATCATAAGAAAATCTTTGGATGTATTAATTCTGTTGTTAAAAATATGGGATGTGATTAATTGGGTTTAAATTCATTTGGATGTTAATAAGCTTAAGGTAATTGTTAATTTGTAAATGATTAATGTTAAAAAGCAGAAGATGTTAAAAAATATGATGAATTTTAATTAGAAGATGATATAATTTAAAATCCTTCTATTCCAATAGATACTCCTGTTACTTGCTAATCTACATCTCCTTCTAAATCAGTTTGTTTATCTCTTTAATCCATATCATTATTATGTTAATGGAGTAAATCTAAAACCACTTGTGAAAATGTAGACATGAAATCAAATTTAAAATGTCTAGATTTCAATAGTAATGATATTTCTGTCAATTCTAATGTATGTGCATCTGTTATTAATGATTTCCCAGATTATGATAACTTAAAAGGAGTTTAATTTGAAAAAAACAGAGGATATTGTTATTACAATAGATTTACATTTTAATGTTAAATTAAATAAGAATTATGTAACACAAAATGTTGTACTGAAACTGAAAATATTGGAATGAATGCTCATGCATGTAGTAAATTTTCAAGTAATGAACCAGGAGATTATTGTTTCTTTATGAATTTAAGATGTTAAGAATTGACAGATGATATTGTGGATTTATCCAATCTAGAATAAATTAAGTAATTCTATGATGAAAATCAATTACCATGTTATTCTATGAATAAGAATTCTTGTCATATGATAGGTTGGTCAAATGAAAAACTTTGCTATTATAATGGAATAGCTTGTATAGATCTCAATTACTCCTACTATAAAGACTATAGAATTTTTACCAAAGAACCTTCTATCTTAAACATAAATGCTTGTTTTGCAATAGATGGAATTCAAACTGAATAAAATACACTTAAATATGTTGGATATGATTCTGAGAACTTGAGATGCAAAGAAGTTATAGTCACTACAGAATTTCCATATGCTTAATGCGAAGATGTTAAAGGAAATAGAAATGTTTGTTAAAGATACACAGGCAACAATTATTGTAAATGGGATTAAACTAAATTATAATGTATTACTATACCTTTTGATGAATTTGATGAAATTCTAACATGTGATTTAGAACTTAATATTAAAGCATGTACTGATATTAAAAAAAGTAGTTGTCTTTTTTCATTTAAAACAGATCGTTGCATATATGTGAATAATTTTAATGTAGACTGTAATCACTTTGATTCTTAGGGTAAGGTAAGTTGGTAAGTATGCTTATAAATTGATAAATCAGAGTAATAGTGTGAATTTCAAAATTATTAATGTGTTGCTTCTACTAAAATTTCACAAACATGTGATGGTTCATTAGCTAACAATAGATCTTGTTTTAAAAATACAAAAGGACTTTGTAGATGGGATACAAATACTTTTGAATGTTATACTAATTACACAGATATATCATAATTAAAATGTACAGATAATATAAATAGAGAGTTATGTAAAAAAATAACACAATATTCATGTATATGGAATGATTAATCAAATGAATGCAAAGAATTTACCACTATGACTTCAATTTAATTTGAAACACTAAGTAAAACAGGAGATCATAAATTTAATCAATAAGCATGTTTAATTATTACAGGAGATGCCTATTATTATGATACTAATATACAAAAATGTATTAAACTTACAAGTAAAACAGCAGATTGTAATGATTTTTTAATGAATAAATATGCTTGTCTATATCATACTCGTACTCATCATTGTTTTTATGATGAATAGGAAGTTATTCCAAATAATAAATGTAAAAAGTTTATAGAAGATTAAACAAAATGTGAAACATCATAATTAATAAATATTGAAGTCTGTATGGAGATTAATAGTCCTTGTATTTTTGATCTAAGTACTCTCTAATGTAAAGCATTTACAATATAAGAAACAACAACTTGTTCAGAATTATCAAATATAACTACATAATTTTAACATCCTAACAAAAAAGTTTGTTCCTCTGTTTCATCAACATTAAAATAGTCCTTAGGAGAATTACAATGTTATGAAGATAAAGAAAATTAATAGTAATGTAAATATGAAAAATATTGTTTTTGGACAAGTTATTCTTGTTAAATATTCAAGCTTGTTTATAATTATTAAGAATCACCAAGTGGATAATAATTATTATTTAGAGAATGTGAAGATTACTAAGAAGTAGACACTTGTTCTAATGACATCATTTAGAATATAACATCAGCATATAAGAAGTCTATATTAACAAATACGGAATTCCTTTGGGAAAATTCTAATACTACTTGTAGAAAAATGAGTGCTAAATTAGAAAAAGAACATACATACTTTTAAATTTCTGATAATTTAAGAGTATGCTAAATTAAAGATTGTTCAATAATTGAATAGCATTTTTGTCAATCTGAGCATAATATTCAAGAAATTATTCAGACCTTTCTACCATACGATGGTGCTATAAATCAAGATGAAAAAGATAATAGTTATTTACACTAAATTCAGGTACTTACTGATGCTGAAGTTACATGCTAAAATTTAGATTGTAGTTAATTATCTGAATTTGATTGTTAAACTGAAAAATAATAATGTGAATAAAAACTTTTTTGTTAAATGGAATTTACTCAACCTTTTTAATCAGCAATTCAAGAAAGTTGTACTCCATCAACCATTTATATACATAGTAATTGGTGTAATTTAAAGGAAAATAAACTCTTTATTTGCAGTAATGTATTTTCAAAAGCTTTATGTTTAGAATTGAGTCATTATTGTTATTTTGATATTAATTAAGGGGGTTGTATGTATATCAAAGATAATGAACATAACATTTCATCATGTGATTAAATTGCAAACAACTGTTCTGTTAGTTCAAGTTAAAAAGCAATTTGTTAAAATGGATCTGAAAGTATCAAACCAGGAGATAAATGCAAAACTGTCTAAAAACTTTATAAAAGTTGTATACCACTTACTACATATAATTAACCATTTTCATATGAAAGCATATTGAATACTGATTTTTAACCTATTTTATGTGCAAAAGCTAATAATGATTGCAGATATGATGGAATTGTATGTATAAATACAATGCCAACAAAAAACTCAAATGGAAAATACCCTTGTGATAAAAGCTTTAGTAAATCATTATGTGAAAAATGTGAATGCAATTATACATATTTAGGATATTGTCAATAAATTAAATAAGTACCTTAAATAGATTAAAATGGATCTAATAAATAATTTCTATGTTATTAAGTTAATTTATTAGAAACTACTTTTAAAGAAGATATTTGTGTAAATGTAGACTAAGCTTGTGCTTTTGCTAATGGCATTTGTTAAGATGCTACTCATTATTCATGCAATAATATGCTTTTGTATAAAGTTTCATTAAAAACATGTTTGAAATGTAAAGATTATGCTACGAAATTTATTGATAATGAAAAGAAATGCTATAAAATTACCGATACAATATAAAATACATGTGTTAATCTTAATAAATATGCTTGTCTTAGAAACACATATGGAGTTTAATGTAAATGGGAAAACTTTAGTTGTTAACAATTATCAATATAAACTAATAATAAAATTGATTGTACTATTCTAAATACTGATGCTTGCTATTAGAAATAAATAAATATTTGTTGGATTGATCCTATAAGTTCTTTATGCATCAAATTTGATCCATATAAAGGATAATGTAATTAATTAAAAACTGAATCTCTTTGTTTAAGATCTATGGTTGCTAATTGTAAATGGGCTTCTAATTAATGCAATCAAAATACTACTGGGTTAATACCTAATATATGCGATAATTTAAATCAATATTTATGTTTAAATTCAGTTAATATTGCATGTGGATGGTCAGATGTTTATGAAAAATGTTATAAATTAGAATTAAAATCAAATCCTTCTTCTTGTAATGATTATCTGTAGAATGATTAATAAACTTTTATAAATCATTGTAATGCCTATACTTGTACTTAAATCAAAGTTTAATAGGGTTGCATTCATGATTAATATTATAAATGTAGAGAAGTTATACCAACAGATGTTATTTCTTGTGAAGTATAAACAATTTCTCATATAAATGAATATGCTTGTGCAAAATTAGCAAAAGGAAAGTGTAAATTTTTCAATAGTAAATGTGAAAAAACTGAAGAATCAAATTTAGGTTGTTAAGCTTATTTAAATTAAGAATCTTGTCTCCATTAAGATGCCGCTTGTAAATTTGATATCTATTGTTAATCATATGTTATCTAATCGATTGAAGGTATAAGAACTCTATTTCCTTATACTTCAGCTGTTTGTAAACCTGTTGATATGGTTATTAAATCTACGGATGGTTATGTAGATATTGGAATTGCCTTAATCTATAGTGTGGCATAATAAAAATGTCTAGATATTACTAATAAGAATATCAGTATTAATGATTGTACTTATATTGGCATGAATAAGTACTCATGTCTATTAAAAACAACCCAATATTGTGAATTTATTAATAGTTCATGTAGAAGAATGGAATTAAAAGAAATATAAACTTTGAAGATCTGCAAACCCAGTTTGAATCAATATGCCTGTATTAGATTAAATGTTTCATGTAAATTTGTACAGGGTCAATGTGTTGAACTTAATGATAATGATGATTGTATTACGTTATCTTAAAACAAATCTATTGTCAATTAGAAGGTATGTTTAAGAGATAGAGACACTCCTTGTCTCTTCAATTATAACACTTAAAGTTGTGAAGTTATTACCACACCTTAAAATTGTGCTGGTCTTAATTATAAAGGATGTATATTCATTACTTAAGGATATAATTGTGAATTCAAAAATTCAAAATGTATTACATCCTTTGGTAATGTTAAGTGTCTTGATGATATTAATGAGGGTAAATGCTTATCAGTTATTACTAAAGGATAATATTGCTATTTTGATCAAAAGAATGGATGTAAAAATTTAGATACTTCAATTGTTGATCTATCTAAATGTTAAAAAGATTAATTGTAAACTAATCCCTTTACTTGTTCAAGAAGTACTGATATTCCTTGTTTTTTTGATAAACAAAATAAAAAATGTATTCCTTACACTGACAAAACTTAATCTAGCTATGAATAAAATTATAGTTTATCAAACATTTATTCATTTAATATTCTGACATGTTAAATCTTTAATTCTTTAAAAGCTCTTATGTGGTAGGAAACTTGTTAAATTGTCAAAAGTTCTTAATTAGTCTATTTAAAATGTAATGCAGCATTAAATAAAATAGCATGTTTAAGTATAAAGACTCCTTTTTAATTTTGTTAATATTAGAATAATAGATGTGTCAATGCTAATTTGGAAGAATTCAAGAAAATTCCATGTGGTTAAATTAAAGATATTAATTCAGGAGCGTTTTGTTCTTTAAATGATTAAAATATACCATGTTAATTTAATAGTTCTTTTTTTAGATGTGAAGTGGTAACAACTTCTGTTATAGGTTGTGTTGAAAAAGATCCATACGAAAAGGGATTGAATAAAATAGCTTGTGACCTTGATCCTGAAAATTGCTATTTCGATGAAAATTGTTACAGATTGAATCGTAATGGATTCTAATTTTGTAGTGATATCAATAATAGTTCTGGATTTTAATGTAAATAGGTTACAAATGAAGGATGTATGATTCAATCTAATTTGTGCAAAAAAATTTATTATCAATCTTATAGCGAAATCAAATGTGAATAAGCTATTAATAGATATGGTTGTGTTAATGTTTAAACATAAAATTAATATTGTTAATTTGATGGGGATGAATGCAAGGCATAAATTGTAAAATCATATAATGAATTGAATTGTTTAAGCATAGTGAATATAAATAATTATTAATTTTGTGAATAGCCTGTGGATATCCCATGTACATTTGATTTAAAGAATAACAGTTGTAGGAATGTATACCCATAAGAAGAATTCTCATGTGAAAGAGGATTAAATAGGATTGCTTGTTTAACTTAGACAACAAAAAGTTTAATGTGTTCATTCCTTGATTATTGTTATGGTCCAAACAATGGGATATTAAATTGCACTTATTAAGAAGTAGATAAGTGTTGTAGAGAAGCAAATTCAATAGATACATGTTTAAATTAAAAGATTTATGAATGTGAATGGACAGTTAATGGATGTTAGAGTCTATAAAATAGAATAACAGATTGTGATAAAATAATAAATGCTAGTTTTTTAGTATGTGCTTCTATCAGAGACACACTATGTGTATATGTTGCTAGTTAATATAAATGTTAAACTTAGATACCAACTACATGTGGTTATTCTTAATCAAGTTAATAATGTAAAAGAATGAAATCTGTTTAATGTATATGGAAAATGGATTAAGAAATATGTGAATATTCAGAAGAATCAGCTTATTTAGGTTGCTCATTTGTTACAAATTCTTCTGGAAATCAAAGATCATGTATGAATGTCGAAGTGTAAGGTTAAATGTGCATTTACAAAGATGAATAATGTCTTCTATTTATTTAATAAGAAAATTAAAATAATTGTTTAGACACAATCAATAGAAATGCTTGTTTATAATAAACTATAAGTGATTGTTAATGGATTGAGTAAGTATATAGAGTTAAAAAATATTTATATCAAGAAGAAGAAGATGTTGTATAAGGTTAATGTATGCCAATTATTAATATTAATTCAATTTCATGTTCGAATTATATTAGTTATTCAGCTTGCTTAAAAATAAATAAAGCTGGAGAACATTGTATTTGGAAAGATTTTTAATGTTAATCAATTAATGAATAACCTATATATAATACTGATTAACTTACGTTAATTAATTAGAATACATGCAGTTTAGTCAATAATGGAGATTTTGTTAAGTATGAATAATCTATTAATGGATGTGTAATTATTTAAAATCTAGATGAATTAACTTGCAAACCTACTATTCTAGGAATTAATAAAGATGCATGTTTAGCTATTAAAACTTAACCATGTACTTGGAATAGCATTTAAAAATAATGTTATTATTTAGATATGTATCATACTTTTGATTCATGTGAAAGACCTGATTGGACAATCATTTCTTGTTCTTAACTTGATATCAATTAATCATGTGGACATACTAAATAAGGATGTTAATTAGTTGATATTAACATTATCAATTGTACATATCCTGGTTTAAATAAATATGCTTGTTTAAACATCTCTAAATTTCCATGTATTTGGTAGAAAAATGAAAAAACTAATTATTATTATTGTGATGATTATTTCCCTCTCACTTCATGTTTATTAGTACCTAAAGATGTGAATCCAATAGTTTGTTAATTAGTTAATTAAGATATTTGTTATTTTGATATTAATAAACAAAAATGTGATATTCCAGATCTAAATCAAACTACTTGTGATTCAATGAACTTAAATATTTATGCTTGTATTCAAATTGAGGGTTGTATATTTAAAGAATTTTGTCAAAGAGTTTAAAAGTAATATTATTATTGTGATGAATATCCTATTGCTAATTATAAAGTTTGTCAAAATGCATAGGATTCTTGCAAATTCAATGAATTAACATTTGGATGTTCAAAAGCTTCAGAAGAATTATGTGATGCTAAAGGATTAAGTTAATTAGGTTGTTAAATATAATAAAATTGTAAATTTACTAATAATGAATGCGTATGTCTAAATTCCATAAATTATAATTGTAATTCAATCAAAAATGCTTAAAAATGTAATTAATCTGATCATTGTATTTATAAAGAAAATAATCAATTATGTGAATGGAAACAATGTGAAGATCTTGTTTATGATGAATGTAATGGTATTCGCATCAATTTATCGTATTGTTATATCAATAAATTCAATTAATGTAGATCTGCTAAATAATGCTAAGATATTATAAACCCATAATTTACCTGTCCCATTCTTCATAATAAACCTTGTGTATTTAATTCAAATCTAAATTAATGTGAGAATCTAAATTGTCATTTACTTGATAAGATCTAATGTGAAAATTATAATAATTAATGTAAATTTGTTGGATCTTGTAAATCTTTGGAATGCAAAGATTTAGATCAACTGCCTTGCTAAAATAATTATGATTGTCTTTGGAATTTTAAAGATAAGATTTGTTAAGATTAAATTCAATGTTCTTAAATATAAGAATAATAATTGTGCAACAACATGCAAAATAATAATTAACAATGTTATTGGAATAAAAATTAAGATCGTTCTTTTTGCAATAATACACCCTGTAGATTTTTACCAACTCTACCTAAATGTTCAGGAATTGAAATTGATGAAGTAGTTTGTGTTTAATTAAAAGATGACACTTGTGTATCATGTGAAGAAATATCAAATCCATGTGTTTGTCTAGAATAAACTAATTTGTGTAAATATGATTTCGATTAAATGAAATGTACATCCATAATTTGTGCTAACTAATAATCTTTTGATGAATGTCCTTAAAATCGTTGTGTATTTAATTAAATAGTAATTTTTTTTATTAATGTAGTGCATGTAAAAATGCGAAAATATTTGGAATTCTTAACTATGCGAAAAATAAAATAACGATTGCGATTGGAAAGACATGAAAATATGTGTGGATAAAGAAAAAAAATAAAATGGGTAAACAAAAATCATTTACAATTAAAATTGGGATTATATATATTTAATTCCATTGGTCTTGTTTATTCTATATTTTTGAAATTTATTTTACCATAAGGCTAAGTATTAATTATAATCCAGTTTTATATGAGTTTTATGTAAATAATTAATATTTAGACAGCGATTTTTTTAAAATTAAAATTTAAATGTAAAATTGTTATTCTTTTTTTATTACTTTTGAAGTATTAATAATAAGTTCAAAAAAAAAGAATGTTAAGATTATTTTATCTATTAAGTATATTTTTGTGACTCTAAAGTGTAATTAAGAGCAAACAAATAAAAAAAAACACATAAATTTTTTTTTTTAATTATTGAATAATAGTTTTAATTAATTGTATGGATAAAAAATATTAAGAATTAGTTGATAAAAAAGCCTTTTTAGACAGCGAATTGAAAAATCTTGAAAGAAGCATTTTTGATAATGAGACTAAGTATCTAGAAGAAACAGCATTTACTGGTAATGTAATAAAAGGGTGGGATGGTTATTTAAGCATGAAAAATACTAAATTAAATTCAGGCTTATAAAAAAAGGGTAAAACAAATTAAAATGATCGAATATTTTCATAAAGTAGTAAGACATCTCCTTTTGTACCAGAAGTGATACATTAAAATTAAGTGACAAATCCAGTAAAATAAATGATTACTGATGGAAGTGGGGAAGATAATAAATATCATTTCAGAAGAACAAAAAAGAAAAAGTATGTTGGTTTTCAAAAAAAGTAATAGTGATTATAAAAATAAATTTAGTGATTAAGGAATACATACACCTTAAAGTTCAAGTGATGAATATTAAGCAGATAAAAAAGTTAAAGTTTCAAAGAAGTTTTGAATTTTAAATGTGAATATATTTTCATATATACTATAATATATTGATAATTATTCTTAATATTAAAATTTTTATATTTTAAAAAAAAGTTTTACTCACTTATAATTTGATAAGAGAAACAATTATTCACAAGAAAGTAATAAAAATTTACAAATCAATCATTTTAAATAAAGAATATTCATATCATGTATTCTGACAACAAATAAATTTCCCTGTTTAATACTCTTATAATGAAAGGATTTTTAAAAATTAATATTTCATTTAGCAAATACTACAATAGATTGTTTATAAGTATTAATACCCATTTGGGCATATATATAAATTGGATTGAGCAATTTATTTTAACTTAAATGAACATTTAAAAGAACAGTATAGACATTTATTTTATTATTGAATACATGTCGATTTACACTTTTTGCAATAACCATACTAATTTAAAGATTATAGATATTCGTTTGGGTCATAATGAAATAAATTTTAACAGCATCTACATATTGCTTCTATTGGTTATTAATCTAAATCTATACAATTTTCACACTTAACTTCTTTTTTTTATCTATATTCTTTTATAGAATAGTATCTTAATTATAGACATTTTTCACATATAATTTATAGTTAGTCTTGATCCTAAATATTCCAACTATGTTCATCAATATTTTAATTTGAATTTTAAAAGTTCTATCTTGATAATCCAAGTTTTTAACATACAATACTACATTTTTAGTGTTGTTATTTTAAAAAAATATCAATTCCTATTTCTTTTTAATTTGTATTGTCTTATTCTAAGATTGGAATTTTATTTGCTAAGGTTTATGCCGAAGCATCACTAAAAATATTATCTGATCCTTATAAATCTAATATAACTAGAGTTCCTTCTGTTTCTGCATAAGTAAAATGACTAAAAGAAGTATAATAATAAAATTCTTGGTAACTTAAAGCACCATTGTTTGAATACTTTCTCCAATTATATTATGCTGAATCAATATAGGTTTCTGCATATAATTTTGTTACACCATAGAATGGATTAGTTAAAGTATAAAGGATAGGTGAGGCATAAAAAATTGGAGGTATTTCTTTAAATTCTTTGGTTTTTTATCTAAATCTATAAGCTAATTCATTTGCATATGCAGCAACATAATATCTAACTTTTGCTTTTTCTTCAGCTATTTTTATATCATTTTTTGATAATTAATTTTCTTTAAATTTTTTAACATGTTCTTTAGATAATTTAGCTAGCATAATTATATTATTCTGAGCATCAAAAATTTTAAATACACAAGTATTCCTATGAGCATCATTTTATATTATTTCAGGCTCTTAATTAATTTCTAAAGCAGAAACACCACTTCTTTAAAATTAATCAACAGAATCATAAAAATTCTCCCAAAATTTAGATTTTTTTATTTATTTATTTGAAAGATCCAAATTAATAATTGTTGGTCTAATGAAATTTGCTTCTGTATATAGATATTATTTTTTTTACTGAAGAATTTACGGATTAAGACTAAAAGTAATAGATGATTCAAGAGCAAATGCAACAAGTTCTGGAAAATCGTTTGGCTAACTTTTTTTTGTTATCATCAATTCAGGAAATTGTTCTTACATTTTTTAAAACATTATATCTGTTGAATCATTAATTTTAAAACAAGTGAAAAAACTAAACTTCTTTCTATCCTTGTATTATTTCATTACATTTTCTAAACTTTAATTTTCAACAGTATCATTTTGATCATCTGAAATATTATCATTATGATATTATTTACCATGACATGGAGCATCAGCAATTAAGAATGTACATAAAATACTATTCGGATGTAATGATATATTTAATTTTAATCCTTATTTTAATCCAGCAATCACATCTTCAGCTTAATCTCCTCCACCTTGAGCTTCTAATTATGAAATAAATTTAAATATTTCTTCAAGGTTTTCAGTTAAACCTCTATATATTAATTAGTCTTTTTCTTCGCAAATATCTCGATACCCAACAAATCCTACTCTTATTCCATATCCATTAATCTTTGCGCTGAATTAATTAATTATTTTGACTAGCTAAAATTTTATGGTTTTCAACCAATTTTTCATTGATTTTGTGAAATCTACTATGAATATAATATCTATTATATTTGCTTAATTGATTTCCTTTTATAATTTTCTCAGTTTCTCCTTTTCGCATAGAATTTATAGTTAAGATTGTGTATTCTATGCTTCCTCAATAAAATTAATAAAGCTATATTAACTATTTTAATTAGTACAAGGATATAAAATTTATTGAAAAAATCGTAAATATTAAATTTCTTCCCATTAACAGTGTATTCTTGAACATTTCAATTCAGGACATTCACCTTTTAAATATTTTATGCATAAATTTTTATTTATTAAATTTTATGCATATTAAGATTCTCCTGATTCATTTATAATTTCTGGATTTATTTCGGCAATATTATATTATTAGTAAACTTCTTCTCTAAGGTCCTACCAAGATATATGTCGCTTTTATTATTAACATTATTAACTCTTGCATCTGTTGCTGAATAATTATTTCAAACATACTCCTTAGGCCCATTTTAAATGTAAAAATTGACATTCATTAAGATTACAATTATTTTGAGTGCATAAATTAAACATCCAAATACCATTTATTGGAGGAATCTAAAACAATATATTCATTTATTCAAAATTAAAATGATACAATTTACAATTAGGATTAGAACATTTTAGTAATTAATTATCTTATTCTTTATCTTCATCATCATCAATTTATTTCAAATATTCTAAACATAATCCAACATATTTTCTTTAATGTGTTTATTAGCAATCTTGCTTTTGACAATGTATTGTTTTATTGCAAACATCCTTAATGTTATTAATGCTCATTTTTAACTTAAAAAAATATATGTTTTGAAATCGAATAACTCAAAAAAGAAAATTAGTATTTCGAGAATAAAATAACATTTTAGAAGAATATTGGAAGTGGCATATAATAAAATATTCTATTTAAGGAAAATATTGTGAATTTGTATATGCTTTAGTAAAAATGACATCAACTTAATCCAAAGATGTTTTAATTAAATAATCTAAAATCAAAAAAATGGTGATGCTGTTATTCTGGTGATTTATTTATGATTTTATATATATATTTTTTGTTCCTAAATAAACCTTATATTAAATTTACAATAGATAATACACAAAACATTAAATTGAAAGAATTAAATATTTTGAGTGATTAAGGAAGTTGATTTCTTTTATAATTATTAACAAATGCTTGTTATATTATTCAAAATTTATATAAATTATANACCTCTATATATTAATTAGTCTTTTTCTTCGCAAATATCTCGATACCCAACAAATCCTACTCTTATTCCATATCCATTAATCTTTGCGCTGAATTAATTAATTATTTTGACTAGCTAAAATTTTATGGTTTTCAACCAATTTTTCATTGATTTTGTGAAATCTACTATGAATATAATATCTATTATATTTGCTTAATTGATTTCCTTTTATAATTTTCTCAGTTTCTCCTTTTCGCATAGAATTTATAGTTAAGATTGTGTATTCTATGCTTCCTCAATAAAATTAATAAAGCTATATTAACTATTTTAATTAGTACAAGGATATAAAATTTATTGAAAAAATCGTAAATATTAAATTTCTTCCCATTAACAGTGTATTCTTGAACATTTCAATTCAGGACATTCACCTTTTAAATATTTTATGCATAAATTTTTATTTATTAAATTTTATGCATATTAAGATTCTCCTGATTCATTTATAATTTCTGGATTTATTTCGGCAATATTATATTATTAGTAAACTTCTTCTCTAAGGTCCTACCAAGATATATGTCGCTTTTATTATTAACATTATTAACTCTTGCATCTGTTGCTGAATAATTATTTCAAACATACTCCTTAGGCCCATTTTAAATGTAAAAATTGACATTCATTAAGATTACAATTATTTTGAGTGCATAAATTAAACATCCAAATACCATTTATTGGAGGAATCTAAAACAATATATTCATTTATTCAAAATTAAAATGATACAATTTACAATTAGGATTAGAACATTTTAGTAATTAATTATCTTATTCTTTATCTTCATCATCATCAATTTATTTCAAATATTCTAAACATAATCCAACATATTTTCTTTAATGTGTTTATTAGCAATCTTGCTTTTGACAATGTATTGTTTTATTGCAAACATCCTTAATGTTATTAATGCTCATTTTTAACTTAAAAAAATATATGTTTTGAAATCGAATAACTCAAAAAAGAAAATTAGTATTTCGAGAATAAAATAACATTTTAGAAGAATATTGGAAGTGGCATATAATAAAATATTCTATTTAAGGAAAATATTGTGAATTTGTATATGCTTTAGTAAAAATGACATCAACTTAATCCAAAGATGTTTTAATTAAATAATCTAAAATCAAAAAAATGGTGATGCTGTTATTCTGGTGATTTATTTATGATTTTATATATATATTTTTTGTTCCTAAATAAACCTTATATTAAATTTACAATAGATAATACACAAAACATTAAATTGAAAGAATTAAATATTTTGAGTGATTAAGGAAGTTGATTTCTTTTATAATTATTAACAAATGCTTGTTATATTATTCAAAATTTATATAAATTATATATATAATGAAATAATACTTTTTTAATTTATAGAATAATAATAAATTATATCATGATTTTCAGATCATTACTAATTAAAACTTATTAGTATATATATTGACAAAGACAAGAAGAGAAATTATTTTCATTTAAAAAAAAAATTCATTACTCTCCTTAATTTCGATAAAAGGTAGCTAGTTAATCACTTCATTTTGAATCTATAATTATGAATAAAAAGAAATAAAAATAGGAAATTTAGATTTTAATATATAAAGAAAAGCCTTTAAATACTGAAACTAATCAAACAGTGAAATAACTGATTATATAAGATAACAAATAAATAAGAAAATAAAATTATATATTTGGTTTACCTGAAATCCTTTCTAAATAGCATAAATCATACAATTAAAAAATAAATGGGTGAGCAGGTTTTATCAATTTCGGATTAGAGTTAGCTTTTTAGAAAAGTTGAAAGTTCTTATTTAAATTTAAAAACTAAAAAATATTATAATACAACAATAATAATTTAAAATTTACATAATTGAATAATGCAGAACAATAGATATAGGATAAAGATTAAGATTATTTATCAAGAAATAGCATAAATCTTAAAAGATAGGATGATATTTATATATCAAAAAGTTTACTTTTATACACTAGTTTAGCTGAGAGAGATTTAAGAAACTCATCAACTTTTTTAAAAATTTATTTTTTGTTTCAGAATAATTGAAGATTTTAAGAGAATCATATAAATATTGGGAATAAGAAATAAGGACAAAAATGGTTCTTATAAAAAAGAAAGATTAGTATATCAGTAAGAATGAAATTAGAAAAAATGAAAGCTTTAATTATAGATTGTGTTAAGAAATTGAGATTCATGAATTTGGAACCTGAATTATTAAATAGGTTCTTATGAATTTTTAAAGGAGTTACTAAAAATGATATAGATTTTGTAAAATAAATTTTTGATAAATGTAGATTTTATATATAAATGAAAACTTTTATACAGCTTTACATATTTGTTTAGAAAAGGACATTTATAAATTGGAAAAATGTTATTTCATTTTGAAACTTATCCTAATGCAAGAGATACTAGTAATAGTATTATATCCTAATAAATAAATAAAAAGAGTTAGTTTAATTATTGTTATCACATAAATTCAATCCTTGATCTTATCTTGGCTGCACCTATGAAACTGATAATCCAATAATATTAATAATATTGACAAAAATACTTANTATAGAATAATAATAAATTATATCATGATTTTCAGATCATTACTAATTAAAACTTATTAGTATATATATTGACAAAGACAAGAAGAGAAATTATTTTCATTTAAAAAAAAAATTCATTACTCTCCTTAATTTCGATAAAAGGTAGCTAGTTAATCACTTCATTTTGAATCTATAATTATGAATAAAAAGAAATAAAAATAGGAAATTTAGATTTTAATATATAAAGAAAAGCCTTTAAATACTGAAACTAATCAAACAGTGAAATAACTGATTATATAAGATAACAAATAAATAAGAAAATAAAATTATATATTTGGTTTACCTGAAATCCTTTCTAAATAGCATAAATCATACAATTAAAAAATAAATGGGTGAGCAGGTTTTATCAATTTCGGATTAGAGTTAGCTTTTTAGAAAAGTTGAAAGTTCTTATTTAAATTTAAAAACTAAAAAATATTATAATACAACAATAATAATTTAAAATTTACATAATTGAATAATGCAGAACAATAGATATAGGATAAAGATTAAGATTATTTATCAAGAAATAGCATAAATCTTAAAAGATAGGATGATATTTATATATCAAAAAGTTTACTTTTATACACTAGTTTAGCTGAGAGAGATTTAAGAAACTCATCAACTTTTTTAAAAATTTATTTTTTGTTTCAGAATAATTGAAGATTTTAAGAGAATCATATAAATATTGGGAATAAGAAATAAGGACAAAAATGGTTCTTATAAAAAAGAAAGATTAGTATATCAGTAAGAATGAAATTAGAAAAAATGAAAGCTTTAATTATAGATTGTGTTAAGAAATTGAGATTCATGAATTTGGAACCTGAATTATTAAATAGGTTCTTATGAATTTTTAAAGGAGTTACTAAAAATGATATAGATTTTGTAAAATAAATTTTTGATAAATGTAGATTTTATTTACATATTTGTTTAGAAAAGGACATTTATAAATTGGAAAAATGTTATTTCATTTTGAAACTTATCCTAATGCAAGAGATACTAGTAATAGTATTATATCCTAATAAATAAATAAAAAGAGTTAGTTTAATTATTGTTATCACATAAATTCAATCCTTGATCTTATCTTGGCTGCACCTATGAAACTGATAATCCAATAATATTAATAATATTGACAAAAATACTTAAATAGCAAGGAGAGTAAATATATAATTCCTATAAGAATAGCTTGATAGTTTATTGATGATGACACCCTATAATAATAGATAATAAACTTGGATTTATTATTCAATAGTTTTTAATGAATTTTAATTATATATAAATAATAACATATTTAAACTTAAATCATATAAAAATGAGTAAATTCAACTATGTTTTCAAACCTTTATTTATTGATACTTTTGAATATAGCTACATAGATGGTAAAACTGAAAAATCATTTACAATAAAAAGAAAAAAATCTGTAAGAGAAACAAAGAGTAAAATGTAATAAAGTGAACCACTTGCTTAATTTAATGTAAATTATTGTATTATAAATATAGAATGAAACAATTAAACAAAGTCATAAAAGAGCTTAAACAAGTAGAAGAATGAAATAATCTTCATAACAATAAAATTTATCATTAAATTCTAATACTCCTAAAATTGGAATTCGTAAAATTGAAAGTAGAATGGAGGATGAATTTGAAATTCCCAATAGAGGAAATTCAATTTAGAAGAAATATTCTAACATACCTTAAATTGATTATTTGAATTTTAATGTATTCATTACTTAAAACAATAGTTAAATAGATAGCAGTTATGAATGGATAAACAAGTAATTCATTTCCAAAAGCATTAGAATTAATAAATATGGATAATAAACTTATGAGAAGAAAAACTGTTGAAGAATCAAAAGCTACATCTACTATTGAAGAGGAAATTTAATAATATAAACGTTTAGAAATATAACATCCTTAAGATATTAAAGACAAAATTGGCAAAATGCTTGCCATTAATGAAAAACGAACTCCTATTAGAACAAGAAATAAGGAAAGAGAAGCATTTACAAGAAATTTAAAATTTCTTGAAGAATCATTTTAATAATCAACTGCACCAGAAAAAAAACTATAAACTATTATACAATAATATTTTGATAAAAAATCATCCTTTTTAGAAGAAAAAGTAAAATAAGAAGAGATCTAATTAAAATAATTTGCAGAAGAAACTACTAAAGTTTAATCCATTAAAAATAAAATGAGATTATCAACAACCTTTTTAAAAAAATTCATACATCAAGTTGAAAAAGATCATTATGAAAAACCAGAGTAATAATAATAAAAATAGTAATTGTAATAATAATAATAGCAATAATAATAATAATAGTAATAATAAGAATAAATAAAATCCTAATAGAGTGTAATATAATCAATAAAATCATCTTAAAAAAAAAGGTAAAATGCTATTTATACTGGATAAGTTAGATCAATATTTAAAAAAATGTTTAATCTAATTATTGATTGTGTCAAGAAAATGAAACAAATGAAACTCACTATAAAGGAATTATTTTAACATGGTGTTATTTAAAAAAAACCATATGAAAGAGAAGGATCTTTTTAATTTTTTGAAGCTGTAGAAGATAATAATTTTACTCTCATTAATTTTATGCTGCAAAAATGTAGATATTATGCTTTTGATATTAATGAAAAAGGATAAACACCATTACATATTAGTATAATTAATGAACATTATGATATGACTGAACGATTATTATAATGTGGGGCCTATCCTGATACTTAGGATCTTAACGGATATTCTCCACTTTATTATGCTATCTAATCTCAAAATAGCAATATAGTTTAATTATTATTATATTATAAAGCTAATCCTTGGTCAAATATTAAAAATAAATTAGAGACTTCAAATGAAGAAATTACAAAGTTGCTTAAATAATCAAGAAAAGTATCTATCGATCTCATTTTTAGATTCATTTATTACTTTTGTTAACTAGACATCCAGATAGAGATTAAATTTGGATTATTTCAAGAGAATCTCTGTTATCTTGATTGCTATTTTTATTTTTAGATTAAATAAAAATAAATTAGATTAATAAATAAGTTCGTTATTAAAAAATTTTATATAATTAATTATTTGCCTCTATAGTATTATGCATAAAGCAACTTGAGAAATAAAATATAATAGTATATTTCATACAAAAACAATTAAAACACAAAATAATCAACAAATAAACAAAATTATCAGGGCATTTCAATCTCTCCATATTCAAGCAATTTTTTTTCGTATAAAAAATAATATTGTTCATCTATAAACAATTAATGATCCATTAATTCTAAGAATTCCTACTCAAGAATATAAGTCTCTCTAACACTAATACCACCGACTTTTGCATAGTATTCATTTTTATAATAATCATCATCTTGATATTTTATTGCAGTCATTATAGCTAACAATAGAAATCTTCATAATTTAAATTCAACTACCTGTGTATGCATTTTGAATTAAGCACTAAATAGGGATGTTTTTCTTATAACCTATCTAGATAAATTAATGCTATAACAAAACATTACTCACTACAATGAGTATATTTTGCAATTCTTTGTAAGTAATTGTGAATAGAAATTGAGGGTGCTCTGCTAGCATGAAAATATGATTGGGTCTCTTATTCAATTTCTAAAGTATCTGTCTCTTTAATTATTTCATCTAGTATATTCGCTACTGTAACAAGTAACTAATTCGATTGTTGCATTAATAGATATAATTTTCAATATTTATATTTTTACTTTATTACCATTTTTTACAAATGATTCTTCAAAAATCATTTCTATAAATAGTTTTATTTCAATGAACCAATAGATTTTCAAGTTCTATTTTAAGATATAATCAATAAACTAAATTTCAAATTTACTCTCTAGTTTGTATATCTCTAGTCTGAAACTTTCTTCTAGATGTAAAATCTCTAAATAGATACAGAAAATTCATTAAAATTAATCAAACTTACGCTACTCAAAACATTTGAATTAATATAATAAAATATAAATGGATTATTAATTATTGATAAGAGATTATGAAAAAGTCAAAGAAATAACTTAAGGAGAAAAAGATATTTATTCTCAATTAATCAATTTTAAATGCGAAAAACTATCAGAATTATCAGATTCTTAACCCTTTTTACCTGACGAAATATTGAACAATCAGCATTTTATAGATTAATATCAAATTGAAAATCTATATGTGATGGATATTGAATCTAATAAATATTAATTATTGAATTTTATGAGGGAAGATAATCAAATAACAAAACAAGTTTTTGAAAATGAATTAACATATCCAACTTTTGAACCTTATTTAATATAATTGTAAAAATTGCCAAACTAAGATATACAAAGAAAAGTAAGTTGGTTAGAAGTCATTTATAAATTAATTCAAAGCCCTAAATAAAAAAAGTCAATAAAATTTTAGACTTATAATTAATTAATAATATGGCAATAAGTATTTATCTAAGTTTCCAAAGAAATAACTTGTAATGAAGAATATTTTAGAATTCTAAGAAAACCTTTAAAGGAATTATTTAGATTAAGCCTTATCCAAATATTATCAATTTTAGATCGGAACATTTACAAATATTTTGAACAATTACATAATCTTATAAATAATGATTTAATGCAAATCTTTTAAGATTCTCAATTAAGAATCACAATAATATATTCTTTAGCAAAGATTGTTTTTCCAAAATTAGATTCAAAGTATTTAAAAAAAATATATTAGTGAAGAATTGCCCAAAGAACATATTAAAATATTGACTATTTTGATAAGCCATGATAAAATTAACAAGATTCCTCATTTCGTTTCATGGTTAGAGTTTTTCGAGTTTCTATTATTCTTTATGCTTTCCGAAATAAATTTAAAAAAGGAACACATTTTTTAAAAGAATTTAGAAGATAAAATAAAGAAGGAACATCCTGACATACCTTTTATAGATTAATTATGGTATTATGTAGCTGTCAATTTCACATAGTAAAACATAAAACTAAATTAATCTTTAAAAAAATTGATATCACATAATGTTTATTCATTAATAAATATTTATTGTGTAAGATACAATAAATATTAATTAATGAATTAGATTTTAGAGTTTCTATTGATAACTCCATTTGAAGATGATGTCTTAAGAATGAATATGTGTATAATCTTATTCAATGCTGATGATTACAATAAATTGCATCAAATGATTCAATCATTATTAGCAAGTGAATAAATAAAAGACCATGAATTTAGACCTGTAATTATTAGTATGTGTGTAATGTTTACTGGAGTCTACTTAGGAAAAGGAGAAGTAATTATTTTAATCAATAATTAATAGGAGGCCTTATGTTTTGCAAGAATGAATTACAATGACTATAATAGAGGTATCATAACACTTGACACATTACTTGCTCAAATAGGATATTGTTTTTAAAATTTAGGAAAATCAGCTAAGTATGTTTTTGAAAAGGAGCATTTTTATATTAAAGCTTTAGAATATTATTAAAAAAGTATAGAATCAAATCCAGATAATCATCTGGTTCAATATAATTATGGAAAATTGCTGGCAATAACAGGAGATATTAAAAGAGCCTTTTATCATGTGGATTAAGCATGTAAATTATGCGGAGCTTAAATCAATTTTAAAATTTTACGAGCTCTTCTCTACTAAACCCAACATGAAAATCAAACTGCTTTATAAATAATATCTTCACTATTAATTATAAAATAAAGCCCATTATTATATCTAATTAAAGCATCAATTTTGACTGAAATATATTTACTTAATTTATTAAATGAGAAAGAATTGTAATACTCTCAATGTATAAGTGAGGAATTAAAATAATTTGTTGTAAAAAAATTTTAAAAATCTAAAGAAGTTTAGTCAATTTTATAAAATTTAAAAAAATTTCTTCTTGGAGTTTCAAGAAAGATTTATGAATTTGATTAAAATGATCAATTTATTGCTTAATTACCTACACTCAAAAGTATGCAAAACTTTGATATTGATCCTCTCACTTATATAAATTATAGAAATGTATGACATAAATAATATTTAATAGTGTATATTTAATACTATTGATATACTGATTAAATTATAAATATTTGATTTGGCAAATTAAGTCTTAGAATTAGTTGATGATGGGAATGAATCAAATGGAAATGAAAAGTTATTTTATGTATAATATTCATTTAGACTTTTAGTAAGGATTATTAGAAGAAAATAAAGAGAAAATAGATATAGCATGTTAATATTATGAAGAAGTACTCAGAACTGACTTTTATCATGTTAGAGCTATGTCAAGATTAGGATTATTATACCTTAAACATTATAAGGATAGTAAAATCTAAAGAGCAAGTGAATTATTGATAGCAGCATCTAAATTCGATAAGAACCATGAAATATGGTAAATTAATAATTATATTTTATAGCTTAGGATTAGGTATTTTAAATTAATTATAAAATAATAATAGTGAAGCTTAAAAATTTTTGAATGATGCTCTACGATTATTAAGAACATCTCCAATTGTCAGTTTTTAAATGATTCCAGACATTTTATTTGGTTGATTAAATGTGTATAATAAGCTAATTATTTTATTTAGAAATTAAGAATTTATTCAATGAATATAAATTTCTTGTCATTTATTTTAAATTAAAATCTTTAATTTTTAAAATGATCATAAAAGTTGGTCACCTTAATGGTGAAGTAAAACTATATGATTTAGCTGATTAAACCTCAGCTGGTCATTTAATGTAACTAATTCAATCTGAATTGGGTTGTGAAGTTCAATTGGTCAACGCTGGAGAATCTATAGCAGCCTCTGCACTATTAGGTAATTATAATCACTCATTATTTATAGGAAGCGAAAGCATTTATTATGTAACAGTTGATGCAGAAGGAGGTAAGAAGAAAAAGAAGAAGAAGAAGAATTTTGCTAAACCCAAAAAGAAGAAGCACAGACACCGAAAAGTCAAATTAGCTACCCTTAAGCTATATACCATTGACAACAAAGGTACTGTTCAAAGATCACACAAATAATGCCCACAATGTCCATAAGGCGTATATATGGCTAAGCATTTTGATAGACACTATTGTGGAACATGCCATTAAACATTCAGAATGGATGAAGCAACTGTAAGAATTTATTAATAATTTATATAGATTAGAGCCAACTTAGAAGCTATCAAAAAATAACAAGCAGCTAAAGCAGCAGCTGCCGCTGCAGCTGCACCAGCAGGAGGTGCTGCAACTGGAGGTGCCGCAGGTGGTAAAAAAGGAAAGAAAAAATGATCATCAGTATAATAATATTAAATATATTATTGAACAATCCTTATTTTAGCATTTATTTTAGATTTTGTATTAGAATTTAGCTTGTCAAAAGAATAATTAATTAATTTTATGGTGCAATATGTTTCTCATTAATTTCAAATATTCATTATGATCAATTTTATATAATCTTTTCTATGGTTATTAACTAAAGTTAGATTCCTTTAATGAAAATAGTTTAAAATATTCAATATTATATTTTTCTATAATAATTTTTGTTTAAAATTTAGATAAAACCATGATTTTATTATTCGTAATGATAGAACTAAAAATAAAATTTGAATTTATTTTCTTTAATAACATAATTTATTTAAAAAATAACATGATTTACTAATATTTTAAATTAAACCATAAATTAAATTATTTAATCAACTATTTAAAGATTTTCCTCTTTAACATTTATTTATTAAAAACTAAGTAGATTATTATTAAATTACAAATTTAGAAATAATCTATCTTAGCATATCATTCTATCTTTAAAGTTTATCATCAGAAGAACATTACTTTTTTTATTTTTATTCCGATAAACAGTTTACTTTTGGTTTTGGAATTTTTGGAGTCTCTTAAGTGTATATTTTCAATTAAAACTAATTCTTGATTTATTATTCTAATTGTGTAATTGTATCTTCTAATCTGGCTATTTCTTATTCACACTAAGTATTATAATTGCTTAAATTTATATTTTCTTTTTGCATCTTTGAATATTAACCATAACCTTTCACTTATTCTTTTAGAATCTAATTCTTTTCCTACAATTCATCAATAAGGATTTTTTTATTTGATTAGTTTTATGATTCTTATTCCAAATCTTTAGATTTTTATTCATACTAAATAAAGATTTCAATTTATTATTNAAGATCACACAAATAATGCCCACAATGTCCATAAGGCGTATATATGGCTAAGCATTTTGATAGACACTATTGTGGAACATGCCATTAAACATTCAGAATGGATGAAGCAACTGTAAGAATTTATTAATAATTTATATAGATTAGAGCCAACTTAGAAGCTATCAAAAAATAACAAGCAGCTAAAGCAGCAGCTGCCGCTGCAGCTGCACCAGCAGGAGGTGCTGCAACTGGAGGTGCCGCAGGTGGTAAAAAAGGAAAGAAAAAATGATCATCAGTATAATAATATTAAATATATTATTGAACAATCCTTATTTTAGCATTTATTTTAGATTTTGTATTAGAATTTAGCTTGTCAAAAGAATAATTAATTAATTTTATGGTGCAATATGTTTCTCATTAATTTCAAATATTCATTATGATCAATTTTATATAATCTTTTCTATGGTTATTAACTAAAGTTAGATTCCTTTAATGAAAATAGTTTAAAATATTCAATATTATATTTTTCTATAATAATTTTTGTTTAAAATTTAGATAAAACCATGATTTTATTATTCGTAATGATAGAACTAAAAATAAAATTTGAATTTATTTTCTTTAATAACATAATTTATTTAAAAAATAACATGATTTACTAATATTTTAAATTAAACCATAAATTAAATTATTTAATCAACTATTTAAAGATTTTCCTCTTTAACATTTATTTATTAAAAACTAAGTAGATTATTATTAAATTACAAATTTAGAAATAATCTATCTTAGCATATCATTCTATCTTTAAAGTTTATCATCAGAAGAACATTACTTTTTTTATTTTTATTCCGATAAACAGTTTACTTTTGGTTTTGGAATTTTTGGAGTCTCTTAAGTGTATATTTTCAATTAAAACTAATTCTTGATTTATTATTCTAATTGTGTAATTGTATCTTCTAATCTGGCTATTTCTTATTCACACTAAGTATTATAATTGCTTAAATTTATATTTTCTTTTTGCATCTTTGAATATTAACCATAACCTTTCACTTATTCTTTTAGAATCTAATTCTTTTCCTACAATTCATCAATAAGGATTTTTTTATTTGATTAGTTTTATGATTCTTATTCCAAATCTTTAGATTTTTATTCATACTAAATAAAGATTTCAATTTATTATTATTGTCTAGATATATTTAATGTATTATACAATTCATTTCTTTTTTCTAAATTAGTGATATTCATTTACAAATTTAAACATTCTTATTTTAAATAATTTATCGTCAAATTACAATTTAATCCGAATTCATTCATTTTAAATTATTCAATTTCTAAAAGTATAATAATCAAATACTAACATTCTTTCAAAGAATTGTTTTCTTCATTTAAGCTCTTTTGTTAAATTTTATAATTTGTGATATTTGCTTCTAAAAAGTGAAATTGTATATTCAAGTGATTTGATTTAGTTTTCTTATTTATTATTAATTGTCCCATACTCAATTAATTACTTATACAATTATTGTTATTGATAATTGAAATCTTCTTTGCCGAAGAAATCAAGGACATATTGTATCTAATCATTCCTTAAATAGGTAAGTGCTTCTTTAGCTTTATCCCAATCATAGATTATCTTAACTTTATTTATGGAGTGAAAATACCATGATGATATTATAAACAAATTTGTTTAACTCATTTTCATCCTTGCCTTCTACTATTTTTAAAGGAGTGATCACTTAAAGATTAGAATCAAAACTTGACATATTTTCAATAATGGATTTTAACCTTGCATAATTGAATACAAATTATGAATCTGTGCATTAATCTACTTTGATAGAAAAATGGTTTTGATTAAATAGATTTAAAAGCTTTTCAACCATAATTCCGTTAATTAAGTCGATGGATCGATCACCACAATCAACATTTAAAATATTTTAAACCATGCTAAAATAGCTTCCTAACACATTATGAAATAATTTAAAATAATATAACACTTCAATTAAGTTGTAAATAACAATAATTGTAAATTTTATTAATATTTTTTATGAAATAGATCCTTTCATAAAGCTTTACATTTGAATCTACGCCAACAATCTTTAGATAGTAATCAGAAAGACCAACTATATTTTCAAAGTAGCAAAATTAAAAAGAATGTGATGCCAAAGAATTGTACGCTTTAATTGTCAATAATCACATGATTAAAGAGATTAGGATTATTAAAATCTTCAAAGAAGAAGACCGAGAATCCATTTTAAAAAATCATATTGTGAATTACGTAATCTAAATAAGAACAGATTATATTGATTATACGATTCCAAAAAGATATTCAGAATTTGAGAAACTATATGATTCAGTAAAAAAATCAAATGAAAATTAGTTACCTATTTCTTAGAAGGATATGCCAAAGTTTCCCGAAAAAAAAGTTATTTAAACAAATTCTAGAAAAACAATTGCAAAAAGATAAGAGATGCTTGAAAGTAAAATATGAATGTAATTAGAATTTTTATAGTATTTATTACAACATTTAGACCATTCATTATACTTGTTTTTGGATTTTCTAAAAATTAAAGGTATTATAAAATTAATCAAAAAATTAGAGTAATTTTAAAAAGGGGGTTTTGATCAAAATGTTAAAATGCATCAATTTAGTAAAGATGAAAATGCTTTGTTTGATCTGTTGGATACAAATCCAAAAAAAATATAACCGAATAATTAGGCTGAATAAATGATATTTTATTATTTGCAAAAATTAAATGAGTCAATAAATGAAAGAGGAAAAATATTTTAGTAAATTATTGAGTTTATAATTCAAGGAAAATGGAGAAGTATTATTTTGGTAAAATTTAGTAGATAACTCCTCTTCTTTTAAAGGTGTTATTGATTGGAGATGATGAAAGGGAACTTTTAGGAATTATGCATGCACTATCAATTTAAACTAATGACATGCAAAGTCATATAAGTTGCATTAATGGATTTTAATTTTTTAGAAAAATTTTGGAATATGATTACAATCCAAGTAATAAATAATTATATTTTATAGATGCAGAATAGGCTCTCAAGTTATTAAGTGAAATAAGTATAAAATAGTTTAGAATAATGAAAATTTAATCCCATATATGTGGATAATAAAAGTTATGTAAATCGGACTCTTTAATGATTCTACATAAATACATACAATAAAATCAATTAAAAAATTAAATGATCAACTATTTGTTGAATGACGATGAGGCAATAAAAGAATATGAAAGTTATGTTTTGATATATGTAAATAAGATGAATGAAGAAGTTAAATAATAAAAAGATAGTGTTGAAAACAATTAAGAGTTATTACCTACTAAATCAAATTCAATTGAACATGCTATTTTAGAATAAGATCCCTCGCTTGATTAATTAATGGAAATTAGTCAGATGAATCTGAATTGGAAATATGTTTAAGGTAATTTAATGTATTAATAATAAAAGAATGTGAAGGACATATTATGTATCATTTATAAGGTTAGTTTGTAAAAACAATTCATCCAGTTGAATGTTCAATAGATAGAGCCATTAAAATATTCACTGATTTAAAATAATAGTGGTTTCATGGAATGATTTAGAAGGATGTTTTGGAATACATTGATGAAAATAAAAGTGTGATTGTTGAATATTATGTTTGGGAAGACAAATCAACATTTAAGAAGATGGCTTTTATTAGTGATCAAGAGATCATCAAGATTAATGATTCCACTTACCAAATCAGCATTGTACCAAATACCAAACAATTACCAAATCATTATAAATTGAAATGCGATCAAAAAGGTATTTAATAGTTCATATACATTTAGGACAAAAAATGAGTATCATTTTAATGAAATTAATAGAACCCAATCATACTGATGTTGTGATATACTAAAATATTATTGATCTTACTTTTAGAACAGCTTTGACACCTGTAATATTAAAAGAGATTCCTTGGTTCAATAATACAATAACTAAACTAAAAGCTTTGCTTTGAGAATTATCATTATTTACTAATTAATTGATAAAATTTATTTACTTTTATTCATAAATAATATATGGGAACCTGTTAATCCGATAACTAAAATTAAAATGAAAGTTAGCCCTAATCAGATGAAGAACATATAGAAACAGAGCAAATGCAATACGTGGTCTTGGCTAGTTGGAATCATGATTAGCAAAATGGATCTAATAAACCAAATCATATTGTCTTTGGAAAATAAAATGCAGACTATTTATAAAGCCATAATGAATTTTAGATTAATTAAGGATCTGTTTAACATTCTAAATTAACAACCTCATCTAATTAAAACAATGTTCCTAACATATAAAATATAACATCTAAACCCTTAAATCAAACTTAATAAAAATAGAGAATTTCAGCATTTAGTGGATACTCCTAAACTGATAGAACTGCAGGCTTGGTTAAAGATCAAGAAATTTAAAGAAGGCCAATAAATTTAGCTAAAAGAAACATATTTTGATTAATATATTTTATTGATATTCTAAATTAATTCATGTAGTTTTTTCTTAAAGGTAATTTTAAAAATTTTTTTTAATTTTATTCTTAAAATTATGACTCTAAATTATTCTACACTCTCAGATTAGTCGATAAATTTCTTAATATTTTTGGGGAAAAGTTTGGAATTAGACATTCAGGCTCTAAAAAATTATAATTTAAAATTTCTCATCCCTTAATAAGTCTCTCTTTAAAAATCTAGTTTCCATTTTTTTGTTACAAAATTTTTTTGTCTCATTATAAGAGTCATAAATTTATTTAAAAAAAAATTAATCTTGATGTGAATGCGTATTATTCTATTTCTTATTTAAGTTTATCTTTCAAAATTTTTGAACAAACTATCAAAAATTTTAATAATGTGCTCGATAATTATGGATATCCATTGAAATTATTATTTAGGTAATGGAAAGCAAATTATATTGCTGTGTATGTTAATAGAATTTAAAATATTTCTTTGACAAACTTTTTACAAAATGATTTTTTATAATTTACATTATAAAGAAATAATTAAGATGACTCACTTTTGAATGAAAGAATCATTTTACATTTTTTCTCTTTTGATTGGTTCAATCTTAAACATTAATCAATTTAGCAAGTGAAATAAAGTTATTCTTTACCCAGGATAAACTAGTAGCATTTTATTTATAAATTAAACTAGTTTATTTGGTTGAAATTCTTAGTTATATAATTTTTATTGAGTTAATTTGTAACTCTATACATTCTCTCCTGGTTCTTAAATTGATTTGTTGTAAAAAAAATCTTATTTACTATATAATTGCCACATTATTTTTGCTACCAGCCAACAATCTGATTCATAGGTATTTATCATTTTGTACAAATATTCTGAAGTAGATTAGATTTACTTAACCATAAGAAAAAATCCTAAGAAGCCATAAACAAGTTTTTTAGTAGTCGTTACAGAAATTATATATCCAAATGATATTGATCTTCCTATAAATTTTTCTTATGCATTTCATATAGTACTTAGATTAATTAAGTAAATATATCAAGAAAATCACTATGTTATATTCTATTTATATCATTAAGTAAGTTGAGGCTTTCCAAGTTTTAAAATTTCGGTTAAACTGAAGATTATTTAATCCTTGACCTAAAATTGTTATTTTTGAATAGAGATGCTTATAATATATCTTAATTGAGGGTAACCCTATTATTTTATAATTAAGCATACTTTTCTAAAATTAAGAAGGGGAGTTAGTTAATTTGACTCTATTATATACTTTAAGGGCTTTCCCACATTTGTCCCATAATTAAATATGGAAATATAGTTGTTTTTCTAATCTGAATAGATCGACATATATATAATTAGTTTTATTGCAATTTTAATGGAATTCTTTTATGAGTATTTAGTTTAATTAATTTTAAAGTAATAATAACATTTGAAAATAGAATATAATTTTTTTTACATTTTATTATTTCATAAATATATGAGATTTTTTTATGTAAACCCAGAAGGTAATGAATCTCCTTCATATTAAATAAATCTCCTTTATTTTAATTAGTTTATTGAAAATTATAATATGAAAAAAAATAATAAATAATACATTAATTAATTTCTAATTAAAATTGTTTAATGAAAAAAAATTTGATAACAATTTTAATTGTGTATATTTTTGAAGGCTATGATCTTTTATATGTAATAATGAATTAATAATAAAATATATATTATTGAGATAGAGATTTTGAATTTAATTTTATTTATGATAGATAAGGGTGCATAGTTATGAGGCACAAATAAAATTTAATTGGAAATTTTATAAAATTAATTGTATATTTGATTACAAATCAGAAATAATCTTTAAAAATTTTCATATTTTGAATTAAAATTAATCGTAATACGTATTAATGTGAGTTGATATAGATGGATAAGTTTAAAAATTTTACAATAAATAAAAAAAAAATTGGATGAAGCAATTCTTACCTCTCAATAGTAACTAAAATATTCCCACTGAGAAAATAGATTCCTATATCTCTTATATGGTAATTAATGTCATAACAATATAGTCTTAAGTGTACAGTGTTTAATAATATATGTTAATTCAGGCTTAAAATTAGATAATGTAGGCACAATTATTGAAATTGTAAAGTGGCTCTTAGAACTAGAATGCCATTTTGCAACAAAAAATAATAAAATTGTTAGAACAGATTTTATAAAAAGGAATTTAGATTTCTATAAAGGACTCTCTTCCATAATCTAAAATGCCTATTTTGGCTAAATATATAGCAAACATATTTATATATCTAATGAAATAATGTTCTTCGGAGTAGGATGAAGTCACAGTGAATTATATAAAAGACCCTAATTCGATAGTAATTGATTAGAAACAATGGGACTTAATTTGTGAGGTAATCAGTAAAAAGTTAGTTTGTCTTGGAGCTAATGATATATTTTGCACTAATGGTATGGATTATAATTTTTATATAGATTCATAAATTGGAATTATTAGTTAATCTTTATTATTTAGCAGTATCATAAGGAAAGTAATTTTCAAGAAATTACATACTTAAAGCGAGGGTGGAAGTGCTCAATAGATAAGCTTTTAGACACTGAATGATTTATTAGGTTAGGAGAATAGATCAGATGAATTTTTATACAAATTCTTGTGTGAAGAGGATAAGAATACAATGAGCAAGTAGTCCTGTTAGAGCTCTTTAGAAAAAATGTTCTAAAAAAGCAACTAATATTTTCATTAATCTAATCTAATTGAGTAAATAATAGAGAATTAAAAATAATTTAATATTAATGGAAATTTTGAGCATCATGCTGAAAAGGTATAAAATTGAATTATTGTAGTACTTAAATATAATTAAAGTATATTAAAATTGTGATTAAAAACAAGTGATTGAATAATTGGTTAAAGGATTGTTTTTGAATTCTTAGTAAATAGATTGTAAAGAGTTCATTTTTAATTCAAACAGATTAGAGGAGAAATTATAAAAATTGTTATTTATGTTTGTGGATTTGGTAAGAATAGAAAACTCTATAATATAAATAGTGTTAGAAAATAAAATGTAAATATTAATAAATAGACATAGATCTGAAGAACCATAGAAAAATCCATTAGAATATTATGCAAAATTAATAGAGAGGATAAAAAACAAGTGTAGAAGTAAAGAAGATGAGTTTTGTAATTGTAAAAGATGTCAATGCATAAAACGTAATAGAGATAGTGCAAGAGAAGCACAAAAAAGAAAGAGAGAGGCTTTAGAGAAGATTGGACCACTTTAGTAAGAGTATGAGAAGATAACAAAGAAAGTAATAGAATATAAATAATTTTAGGTCAAATTATTAGAGTTTGATAATTCAAAGTTAAAGGCAGCTTTATTTGATGCATTAAGAAATCCAGTTATAGAAAACTTAATCAAAACATAGTACTCTGGAGCTTTTTCAAATTTATCAAATCTGATGTAATAGGAATCATATGATATATAAAAAGAAGAAGATCAATCACAATCCTGAAAGACTAATGATTTTTGTATTTTTTATGTATTGTTTATGCTTCAAAATAAATATATATCAAATGAATATTAGGTTTAAAAAAAAATAGTGAATTTTAATTCTTTTTCGTATCAAATTTGATATTTAATTATCAGGTAGTTGTTATTTATTAAGAAATTATATTTAATCTAGAAGAGTGTAAACTTTATTATTGAATTTGAATTTAAACTAGAAGATGCAATTCTAGGATGAAATTAAACCAATTACCAATTTGAATGAATAAAAATGGCATTTAGAGGTTGGACAAGTTTCGTTAATTTATCTTTGCCAACTTCTAGATAAAGACTTTTTATGGATATCATCATAGTAATAATCTTTAGTTTAATCAAAGAATTAAGATTACATTGTATTGTACACACATATATTTGCATTTAATACAAATGTATTCTTTATCTAAATTATCCAATAATTCAAAAAATATGAAAAGAAAAATCTACATCCAGTTTTCCAAAAACGTTAATCCTATCTCATGTATCTACCTTTTTATAAACACTCAGTTCTTACTCAAAAAATAATTTATAAATAACCTAAATTTATCTTAAAAGATAGATGGCAATAAATCAAAAAAATCTTTAGAGAATTCAAAAATTATTTTATTGGCCATTCTATACATTTTATATTCATAATTATTGGATAAGGCTATTTTCTATTAAGTTATCAAATATTAAGCTATTTGTAATTTAGATATAAATGAATCAATATATGAAATTTATATAAATAAACTAATTTTTATTTTTTTTAAAGTTTTTCCTTTTTTTCTTTTTTTAATTTTATTAAATAAATTGGAAAGTTTAAAAAATGTTAATTAGTTATTTTAAATTAATTCTAAGTTTAAGGCTAAGGGATATAAAATACTAAAATATTTTAGTTTAATCTAACTAATAGTAAAAATTGTCTTTCATACTCAATTTGAATTATTATAGACGTAATTATATGATATCATTTTCATTTTTAATAAAATTAAATCTAAACTACATAACGCTTCTATCTAGCCTATGTAATAATTTCCATATCATTCATTTATTTTGACATATTAAGAATTGTTTCACATCCATAAATATTATGGAAGTATGAATGTAGTTTTTTAAAACTATAATAATTCATTTAAATTTGTGTAAACACCTAATTATATACATAATTCCTCTGTTATTTGAAATGCAGGCCTTGCTATCCATTAAACAATATTTTCGACTAAGAGATGGAGATGATACATAAATGATTCCACATTCAATTTTTAATGATTATGGGAAGTTGTTAATTTTCAAATGATTAAACTATTAGGATGGAGAAATATTTTAATTATTTATTGAATTTACAGAAGAATACCTTCTTGAACCACTAAATGCTGTATTGAAGATCAAAATATTTCATTCAGTATATATCATATTATCTTATGCAGGGTAATATATAATCGGAAAATGATCTAGATAATATGTAGAGATGGCAAAATCAGTCGAGACATTTAAAAAAAATAATTTTATTTTAATTTATGATGTCTGGGTTTTTCTAACCTAACTATGATTTCGATTAAAAGATCTAAACACTGATTCCAATGCTAAAGATAAATCAACTAAATTATATTTAGAAAATAAAATAAAGTAATTTAAAAGAGTAGAAGAATTTGTTGAGGAATCATGGATTAATTAATAAATATTATAAGTATTATATTAAATATTTTATCTAGCTACTTTTGTTATAACTCATTCTCTCTTTGGTCTACTTACAGGA